TCGACACTCACGGAAGCAGCAGTCAAGAAATCAAACTTCTTGCGTTAGGCAAATCTGCTGTATGAGACCTTTTTAAAGTGTTCAAGTGCAAAGATGTTAGATTGAGGACTAAGGTGCACCTTACCCAAGCCATGGTGTTTTCAATAACCTCATATGCATGTGAAAGCTGGACAGTGAATAAGGTAGACCGTAGAAGAATTGATGCTTTTGAGTTATGGTGTTGGAGGAGAATATTGAAAGTGCCTTGGGCTGCCAAAAGAAACAACAGATTTGTGTTTTGTTCTGCTGTGCATAAGGTCGTTATGGGTCGGTACCGACTCAGCGGCACCTAACAACAACAACAACAACTCCTCTTCTAAAATAGTAGTATGGGATCGTTCTTTGATACTAGACAGTTTCCTTATGTGTCTGCTAGATAAAAGTAATAATCTTCACTTACAGCTTTCAAATAATTGTACAAAGCTTATTTCCTTTGTGAGTTCAGAATTTTATGTGTATTCTGATTCTTCTGTTTTTTGCATCTGGGCCTATGGTTTCTATTTCTGCAACTTACTTTTCTCTGTACTTTTTTGAGAATGTATTTTACTTAGCTAATTAATGCAGGTAGCTCCCAGGTTAAGAACATCTTTGACTTAACAGACTACTTCAATTTCCCCTTTAATATTATGTAAATTTGCCCTTACCTTGAAATGATTGAACAATCCCGATTGTTGTTAAGTGCTGTTGAGTCAGTTCCAACTCATAGCAACTTGTGTAGGGTTTTCCAGGTTGTCAGTGTTCGTGGGAGCAAATTGTTCATCACAGTCACTTTCACTTGCTACATGCACAGCTTTTAAATCGTTGAAAGGGCTTTTGAGCCTTTTATTGCATTAACCCAAAAACTAAACTCACTGCCATAGAGTCAATTTTAACTCATAACAAACTTACAGGACAGAATAGAAATGACCTGTGGAATTTCCAAGGCTGTAAGTCTTTACAGAATCAGACTTATTACCACCCCATCTGATTCTGTAAAGGTTGATTCAGACACCAACCTTTTGTTTAGTAGCTGAATGCTTAACCAACTGCACTACCAGGCTTCCTCTCTTTTATTAAAGTAAAGCTCAAAGACACAAGAAACAATCTTATTCATACCCCAGGGGCTGCCTGTGTATAATGATGTATTTTTCTTTGTAAAAAGCAAATTTGACAAATTGTTAAATCATTCGTTCATGTTATTCTGCAGTCTGTTTTCTTAAAAGCTCACATTTGTTGCCAAAAGCCTTTTTAAATTTGTTATACCTTCAGAGGTTTATAGTAGACATTTACTGTTCAATATTTTTGTGATTGTTGTATGTATGAAAATTAGTTGGCAACTTTCAGTTTCTCATAAAGTAAGTGTTTATATTCAATTTTATTACATAGGTGGTTTTTGTGGGGTTTTTATTCTGTTGTTAAATCACACATTTTACCAACATTAATTGATACATATTCAGAGATAACCTTTATATTACTTTTAAAAAGGAATTTGACTAGATAAATGGATCTGCTGCAGAAAAATCGGAGTATTCAGTCTCAGATGAAAACCATGTTATTTTAAATTATCAACATTTCCACTTCCAGCCCACACTCCTTATACATATATACAATGTGTACGCTTCCCTTAAAAAAAAAATCTTGCCCAGTCATACATACATAATACATCATATTTATAGATTCTTACAAAATGTTTGATATATAGCACTGTTCTTGATATATTCAAATGTATAGTGATATTTTAAAGTTCATAATGGATTTGCTGGTGTTGCTCTATAGGATAAGTTCTAGACTGCTTAACTGCAAGGTCATGGATTCAAACCCACCAGGTAATCTTAAACCTAAACTATATATGAGGTCCTTATGAGTCAGAACTGACTTAGCAACACTTAACAGCGTATCTGTAATGGAGAATAACATACCTCAGAAACCAAGGACTTCACTTATAATCCAGTTAACAAGTTTGTACATAAAAGTCAATTCCTAGTAAAGAACTGATGGTGGATTCCACAATTGATAATGTATATGGAAGCTCCGTATACACATAGTATATTGTTTTTCTTTTCACTGTTAGTACCAATTTTCTGTGACTAAAGTGATCAGATTATTTTCACTATTTTGTTCATTTAGAAGTTTGGGAAATGATTTGTATAGTAGAGAGATTTGACCTTTCTTTTATGTAGAGTCTGAGATTTGTTTTAGGAAAGTATACAGCCTTAGAATGTTATGTTTAAAATAAACCTTTAAAATGCGAAGCAAGGGGACAAAAATGAAGTGCTATAGAGACCATTTTGTATCAGTTGTCTGCTTTCACGTGTATAAAAATAATTCTGAAATCATCTCTTTAATTTACAGCATTTGGCCCTGGCTAATTTCTCTTCTAAATAGTTTCCATCCCCATGAAGAGGATCTCTCCAGTACTAATGGTAAGGAATACCCTAACCTTGTATTGTTGATGTTGTCCAGCACTAATGGAAGGTTGTAGGCCAGAGATAAATAAGGGAGTTTTTCAGTGTTATTTGTAAAAATATATGTTTAGTTTTGTTTGTTGGGCTTAAGAATCTGTATCTCACAAGTGAATTTGAGCTCTCTACACTGATTAAATTTAGAGTTAAGGATGCTGTAGCCTTATGGACTTCTGTAAAAGTTACTGTAGATGTAGTATTCTGAAGAGTTCTTTGGCAACTTATTCTCTTATTTAACTACATTTGAATAGGCAAAAGGATTCCAGAGTGTGCAATACCGTCACATTCTTTCCACCTTCTTCCTTTCCTCTTCTTACAAGGAAAAAAATAATAATAAAAGGAATTGGTGTGACCAGCATTACTCATCAAAGTGTAATATCTATTCATTGTAGAAATTTGAGGGTATAACAAAACCAATTACCTATAGTTCTTCCCACAAAGGCGCTTTGTACTATTCATGTTATAGTATATATATATATATATATATATATATATATATATATACACACACACACACATATACATACACACATCTTCATATGATTGGTGTCAGAGGTTTGTACCTGCTTTTTAAATTTAATGCTGTATCATTAGCATTTCCTTTGTCATTAAACATTTTGAAAACATGGTTTTTATTGGCTGTATGACATCCCATCTAATGGATGTGCCATAATGCAGTTAATCATTTCTCCATTGCTGTAAATCTCTACTGAACAATCTCTAACTTGACTATTTCCCTTCTATTAGATCAGTGCTCTTTAAGTGTGAATCTATAAATGACTCACCTGGCATCTTGTTGAAATGCAGTTTGATTCAGTATGCGTAGGGTTATGCCTAAGATTCTGCATTTATTACAACTTCCCAGGTGATGTAAATGTTGTTACTCAGTACTTAGTAACCAGAAGATAGACAGTCTAAGCTTTTGGATTACTGGACCCAAAGTTATAATTTTAAGAGTACTGATTCAAAATAAATCCATCAACCTCTTCAACACTGAGTATTAGACTTGTGTAGAACTCAAAGGTAACATAACAGAGCTCTTAACAGGTGAGTTACTTTATCAGAGCTACTGGGAAAAGCAAAGAACTGGGAGCATTAGAGATCATTGTTTCTATATAGAAGATAGTCATTTTGAGCAGAAGTAAAATGTTTACAAATGTTGGTTTCTTTCCTTCTCTAGCCACCCCACTTCCAGAAGAGTTTGAGTTGCAAGGATTCTTGGCTTTGAGACCTTCTTTCAGGTGGGTGGCAGCTGAAGGAGGCGATTGCAACAGGAAATCAGTCAGGTTTAGAGAAAGTGCTGTTATATCTCAGCTGTGTCTCATTTTCTTAACAACTAGTAAGTAATGAAAGATGTTGTTGTTGAAAATAGATTTGTATATGTCCTGCCTTTTATTCTGGTTTAATATCAATACTAAGCACTTAGAAGCAAGGAGTGAAAAGAAAATTACTTCTTCAAGTGATATATATTTACTGAGGTCTACCTTTACACCATTCTTGAAATTAGAGGGCAGATGTTTAAAAATAAAAAATAAAAAAAGGAAAACAAATGTAAACCAGAGGCTATTCCTTGATTTTTTTCTTATTTTCTCTTTTCATATCAATAGTAATGATAAAGCTTGTTATAAGCACTGAATATTTTTAATCTACATTGCATCTCTTGTATCTCTGGATAGAGTTCTGAGCTCTCAGTAGAAGTAGTTCTAGGACTCACACTGCTCCTTAGGACCCATTTCATGGTAGTTAGAAATTAAGCATTTCTAGAAAATTGATATAAATTCCAAGAACGTTAGTCAGATGGAAATTTTAATGCAATTAGTAGTAGACTTTAGAGATTTTGAGTTTTCCATTCTCTTACTGAGTTTTGATTTTGAGTTTTACATTTATCTTATTGTATGTCATTAACCCCTTATTATCTCCTCACTCTGAACAGACACTTTCCAATTCAAAGACAGCTTATGCTGCGATAAGATAAGCAAGGTCATTTTAAACCACTAGGTTGGCAGTTCAAACTCATCCCCCATTCCTTGGAAACCCTATTTAAGGTCGCTAAGTTGGAAATGACTCAGTGGCACTTAACAACAATAACAACACCTTCACTGTAATCTGTTTTCTCAAATGTCCTATGTGTGTTTTCCCTCTTATTTATAAGGAATGCCCTTTTGACATCTGTTGTTGTTGCTAAGTTCCCTAAAGTCGATTCTGACCCATAGCAATCCTGTATAGGGTTTCCAAGAAGCAGCTGGTGAGCTTGAACCACCAACCTTGTAGTTCAAACGACTTTGCAGTCTGGCACATTAACACACAGCATCACACCAGGACTCCTTTTTGCATCTAACCTTTCCTAAAAGTCATTGACTCCATCCTTTCCTACTTTCCAAAGAACCTTGCTTCAGCTGTTATTCTGTCTTGCATTTCCTTTGTGTGTGTGTGTTATTTCTTAATAATCAGCTATTTCCCTTTAGCCTAGTAATATTCAAGGTTGTCTTATTCTTTTTTTTTTTTTTTTAAGTTTTTATTGTGAATTTTGTAATAGTTTACGTGGGATAACATTAGCTGTACATTCATGTTATTGTATATCATTTCATTGCCATGGATATAGTCCCGTCCATGCATCATCAACCAACCAAAGGGGGAACACCCTGTGAGCCTGCCCCTCGGTCGTCAGCACACAGCCTCTTTCCCTCCCTAGGTATAGAGTCACCAGCCACTCCATCTTTTCACATCATCATCTCTGCCTCCATCTGTAGTGTCACTGCTTCTCTGGGCGGGGTCCTGCACTCTGCTTTTCTCTCTTGATGGTCCCAGGGACCTCCATTCCTCTCCTTTTACTACAAAACGTGTATCTTTACATTTCCAGTCCTCACAGTCAGTCCTGATAGCAATTATTCACTTTTGTACCACAGGAGTCATATATACTTTTCTTTTCCTAACCCTAACGATCAGTCTCTTTCACTCTTTCTTTTGTACTGCATGTTTCTGAATTGCTGCTCACTAAGATTGTCTCGTTGCTCTTTCCTTCCTGCTTTCTACATTCTCTTTGGTGAAGAGATCCATCTCCTAGGTCTTAAGCTTTCATCTCTTGGGTGATTCGTCCCAGATCTTATATTCTGATTTCTCTTTGTGAACTCTTATGTTTAAGAATCTTATCTCCATACACATTTCAAACCTCTCATATGACCAAAAGAGCTTGCATTTTCCTATTTAGTAGCCAGCAAAAACACGTATTACTGTATTTCCTATTTGTGTTTGTGACATTCACTTACATATGACAAAGCTAGAAATTAGAAAAATTCTTATTTCCATTAATCTTCCTCACCAACTCTTTGTAATTCTGTGTACCAAATGTCTCTTAGACCCATCTCCTCCCTTGTTGTTGTTATTATGTGCCATGGAGTTGGTTCTGACTCATAGCGACCATGTACAGGGTTTCCAAGACTATAAATCTTTACAGGAGCTGACAGCCTCATCTTTCTCCCGTGGAACAGCTGGTAGTTTTGAACTGCTGACCTTGCGGCTCTCAGCCCGATTTGTAACCACTATGCTACCAGAACTTCTCCTCCTCCCTTGTATTTCCCCCAATTGAGACTTCTCTCACTTTTTTCCTTGGAGTATTAAACTCACTGCTGTTAAGTCAGTTCTCACTCGTAAAAGCCCACAGGACAGAGGAGAACTGCTCCATAGGGTTTCAGAGGCTATAACTTTATAAAAGCAGATTACTTCATGTTTCTCCTTCGGAGCAACTGGTGAGTTCAATCTGTCAACCTTTCTGTTAGCAACCCAGTGCTTAACCTGCTGGATCAACAGGGGTCCTGCACTCTTCCTAGTTCATCTTTTATTTAACCCTAAGAAATGATAACCCCATTTCAAAGGCTTCTTCTTAATTAACCTCTCTGCTTATAGTCTCTCTTCCTCTATCCCATTTCTTCTCTGCCTCAAAGTTAACATTTAAAGTAAGTGCTGTGTGTGTGACAAATATAAAACTTCAACTTATCCATCCTGCTGCACCCCAGTTTTTCCAGACTCCGATGTCTAAGTTCCATGTGTCAAACTCTTAGTTTTTCAGCTTTATATTCTGCCACTATCCCCCCACCCCCACCCCCTTGCCAACAGTACTACACGTACATACATATATTTTCCTATTTGTGGATGTTGTTTTTAACTGCCATTAAGTCAATTCCAACCCATAGTAACCCTGTAACAGTTTCTGAGGAGCTACCAGGTGACTTTGAACTGCCGACCTTGTGGTTCAAACTGACCTTACAGCCAGGTGCTTATCCTACAACGCCATACCAGAATAACTCTATTTTTGTTCCTCAAACCTTTGGTTGCAGCTATGCCTGGAATATAACCTTTTCCCCGCACCCTTTTGCTTGCCCACTAAGCACTTACACATACCTGTAAAGGTCTAACTCAGGTATTATCTGTGAAACCTTTCCAGGCACTATTAGAAGGAATAAACTCTTTATCTGTACTTCCTTATTTTTTTGCAGAGTGTTTATCATGATATACATCACATTGACGTATTTGGTCCTTAAAAGTAGGGACTTTTTAATTTGTTTTGTGTCCTCAACATCTAACCTCTCAATTCTTAGATCGTATGGGGAAAAGATACTGTGTTAAGGATAGATTATTACTGTTTATCAGACTAAACATCACATAGACTCAGTATTTCCATCATCCTTTCATGTATTGGAATTAATTAATTTCAATTAATTACTTTAATTACAGGGTATTTATAAAACTTATACAATTAAAAGACCATCTTTACTAATAAAAATTTGTGGTTTATTTGAAATCCTCAGAAAATGAAGTATAACTGAAAATACTGCATTACATTTATTATTTTACGTATGTCTTTTCATCCTTGCTTCATTGTATTTAAAATCTTTGGGAATATAAATTCAAACAAATACAGTTGAGTACGTCAAGCTGCTTAGCTGCATGGGAAATACCTGGAGCCACTGCTGTCAATAGGTTATCTTTTTTTGTTGACTGGAAAATATCTCTAAATTCTTTAATTTGCAATGTCAATTTTAGGAACTTGGATTTTTCCAAAGGCCACCAGGGTATTACAGGAGACAAAGAGGGTCAGCAACAACAAATACGGCAACAGCGTTTGATCTCTGTCGGCAAATGGATTGCTGATAATCAGCCAAGGTACACCATAGGACCTCTGGTCTCTTCCTTTAATCTTATCAGGTGCAGTACACACAAAACACCCCACAACATATATTTTGTTGTTGTTAAGTGTCATTTAGCAGTCCAGTGCTAATCCTACCACCACCACACTAGGACCCCACATGTATTTTAGACAGGGGGATAAGCACTAGACCACAGCATTGATTTGAACCACAAGGTCAGCAGTGCAGACTTATTAGCCGTTCCTTGGAAACCTTATACAGGGCTGCTATGATCCCTGCTGAGAATTTCCCTTTCCACCCTAGTGATAAGCACTGGATTGCTAATCACCAGGTCTGCAGTTCAAGCTGACCAGCTTCTCTCAGAAACGCCATACAGGGTCACTATGAGTCAGAACAGACTCGACAGCAATGCCGTAGATGTGCTGAGTCAGGATTTTAAAAAGATCAACAGGTGATTCTTCTGTTTGCAATTATGTACATGAGTTACTTTCTAATTCAGTACATCTAGGGTGGAAAGGCTCTGGTAGCGTAGTGGTTACGAATCAGGCTGCGAACCACAAGGTCAGCAGTTTGAAACTACCAGCTGCTCCGCGGGAGAAAGATGAGGCTTTCTGCTCCCGTAAAGATTTACGGCCTCGGAAACCCTGTACAGGGTCGCTATGGGTCGGAATCGACTCGACGGCACTTAACAACAACAACAACAGGGTGGAAAGGCAGGCACTCTGGTACCTTAGTGGTTACGAATCAGGTTGCTAACCTAATGGTCAGCAGTTCAAAACTACCAGCCGTTCCGTGGGAGAAAGATGAGGCTTTCTATTCCCATAAAGATTTACAGCCTTGGAAATCCTATGCAGGCTCGCTATAAGTTGGAACCAACTCCACAGCACATAACCACCACCACCAGGGTGGAAAGGAAAATTCTCAGCAGGGGTCAAAATGGAATGAATTGGTTTGAAGCCTTATTGCTAGTTCAAAATGTTGGTACTATTTACATTCATACTAAATTATGACCCTAGTAACTATAATACACTCTTTGCTTAACCTTTTTTCCAAATTTCACTGCCTATAGGGAATAATTGGTTTTAGCTCCTTATTTATCATGACCGTCTCTCATTTATAAACATCTGTTTAAGTCTCACTAAATTGTGTGATCACAGTAATGGTGATTTGTGTTGGCAGGAATATGGGAGTTATTTTAAGTCAGGATAGATCAGGAAGGAAGTGATTGTAGTTAAGTGCTGTCAAAAATCAGTTCCAGCTCATAGTGACGACCCTGTTTAGGGTTTCAAGGAGTGGCTGGTGTATTTGAACCGCTGACCTTGTGCTTCAAACTAACCTTGCGTTCCAGTGCTTAGTTAAATGCAAAGCAGCTGTCATAGTTGGTATTTGGGTGTCAGATAGGTTGAGTTCAGTTTCTAGTACCACTTCTCAAGTGTGTGTCCTTGGGATCTCCCTTGTGTATTGTCAGCTCTTCAGAAACACTAGCCTACCACTTACCCATTTTGCATTTAGATTCCTGTTATAATGTAGGTACTTAAATGACAGGATGTTTGAATTAACACCTTAGGTTCAATTCCCACGCTTATAAAATAGGAACGCTATGTGGTTAGTTCCCTTGTAGGACATGTTCAGTGCCCGTAAATGTAGTTGTAGTTATTAGAAAACATCTTGGCCAGGGAAATGTATGTGATGATGTTAATTATTGTATGAGACTCTGAATTTCTAGATAATTACTCTTTATGTTAACTGAATTTATATTCTTTTATGTCCTGCTTTTCCCATAGTCTTTAGAGCCACAAATACACTTGAGTGTTGGATCCATACACAGTTCAGTTGTTACTGTTTTTTAGGTTTATGTTTTTTATATGTGGATTTATCTTTACTCTTTTTAGGCTGATTCAGTGTGAAAATGAGGTAGGGAAATTGTTGTTTATCACAGAAATCCCAGAGTTAATACTGGAAGACCCCAGTGAAGCCAAAGAGAACCTTATTCTTCAAGAAACGTCTATAATAGAGTCAGTGTCTGCAGACGGGAGCCCAGGACTGAAATCAGTGCTGTCTTCAGGCCGAAATCTAAGCAACAGCTGTGACTCAGGAGAGAAACCAATGGTCACCTTCAAAGAGAACATTAAACCACGAGAAGTGAACAGAGACCAAGGAAGAAGTTTTCCTCCCAAAGAGGTGAGAAGGGACTATAGCAAAGGAATAACTGTAACTAAGAATGATGGAAAGAAGGACACCACCAAGAGGAAAACTGAAACCAAGAAATGCACCTTAGAAAAGTTACAGGAAACAGGAAAGCAGAATGTGGCAGTGCAGGTAAGCTGTATTTGAACTGTAAAGCAGGTTGAGGAAGACACACACAAAAGGCAAGATTTTTCATTTTGTTCTTCAGAGCCTTGAGAATTGGCTGTTCTGAATGCTTCAGTGCATTCTTTAAACCCAGGATATGTGTTGTAGAGCTGTGGTAGAAACTTACTTCATCAAGTCTTAGGAATTTTAATATGAGCAGGAAAAATCTCAGCCTGCTTGACATTTTTTGCCAACCCCACCAGTTTAGTTTAAGTGGTTTGAAATAACCAGTAGCAGAGCCAACAGTTCTACCAAGATTTATTTCCTTTGGAGGGTGTAGTTCTCATTGGTATAATTTCATAGTGGAGTCCTGGTGTGGTGTTGTAGGGTAAGCACTGGACTACTAACCACAAGGTCAGCAGTTCAAACCCACCGGCTGCTCCTCAGAAATCCCGTACAGGGTTGCTGTGAGTCAGATCACACAACAGCAACACTGCTATAATGGGAGTTGGGTCTTTTATAGATCCTGTTGAGTCAAAAGAATATTAAACCTCTACAGGTTTTTACTTTTTCAGATTTTCTGTACAAAATAATAGGTTATTAGACTATGATAAAAGGTTCTTTTCTTGACATACCTGTCCTAGCCAGTAGCATTATGTCACTTAAATGTTATCCTGGCTCATGAGAATTTGTAGTTCTTTTCCCGGGAAAATGTTTCATTATTCATGACTTGGGTGTTTTTGTACTTTTCTAAAGAGATACATAGGATTTCATTTATAAATAGAAAGTGTCTTTACTCTGCACTGGTAATTGGCTTGATTTATTTTAGTGACCATGTGATTTTTTTCACACATTTTGGCAAATGTATTTGCTTGCAGTAGACACAAGGAGCCTTACGTGATTGAAGACTACTTACAAATAAATAGTTACTTTCAAAATGTTTCCCTAATATTTTTGATTTTGAGAAAAGGAGAAATAAAATCAGCTCCATCTAAAGATCAATAGTAGGGAGAGAAACAGAAAAAAAAACCACACACACACACACACACACACACACACACAAAAACGATAGAAACTGAGAAAAGACATGCAGAAAGACATGCTGGGAAAAGGAAAGGAAAAAGCTAAACGAACTAGAAATCCACTAGAAACTAGTGTTTAGGATTAAATGCCCAGCATTCCTGCTTGCCCTGCTTCCATTTTCTATAGCTGCCTCATACTGAAAATAAAATTTTTCTGGTCCCTCATCCGTATCTATCTCAGATATGCTTATAGATGGTTAAAGAAAGCCAAACACCACCCTCTCTGAACCTCATCTCAAATTTACTGTAAATGCAGCCTAGTTTCCTCATCTTGTCTAACTGATGGGGAGGCAGGCACTTATACTGAGAAATGCACATGGCATTTACTTTTCTCTGTCTCCATAGATCTCATCTCAGGGCCTGCTCCTGGCTACTACTATTCATTCTGAGGGGTGGAGGGCTTCAGGGGGGTGCAGTGGAGAGCACCTGGGACGGCCTGGTGAAATTAACTCAAGGCTCTCAACTGTGGGTTAATAGTAATTATTAATTTATCTGTGATTACAATACAAAGGGTCATGGGCCCTCTAAGATCATAGGGAGGGTTTTGTGTCTAGTTTCTTGGCGTCACATGTCTCATTTATACAACAAATAGCTTCTAGGACCTTTCCATATTTGGTCTTCCCATATTTGGTGTTTTTATAATTCTGTAAAAGAGAAAGTCTTACATTTGTAAAACTAAGCCCTTATATCCTTGTCAGCAATTAAATAATGTGGTTTGGATTTTCCATTTTTAATTAAGGTGAATTTAAGTATCTGTAGTATATACTTTTGGAGTTGGGCATAATGGGAGTGTTAAATATTTTGTCAGAGTAAGGTACATCTTCCTGAGACATTTGTTTCAGTTTATTACATTTTGCTTCTGTTGCTCATAGGTAAAATCCCAGGCAGAATTAAGAAAGACTCCAGTGTCTGAAGCCAGGAAAACACCTGTAACTCAAACCCCAAGTCAAGCAAGCAACTCCCAGTTCATCCCCATTCATCACCCTGGAGCCTTCCCTCCTCTTCCTAGCCGGCCAGGTAAATGGATTTGTAGTCATTTTTTCTACTTAAACCTGTCTGTAGGAACTTATAGTCTTCATTCATGAACTAATGTATATTCTAGAGGAGTAATATTACTACATCTTAAAGCTTGATGTTCCCCAATGCTTACTAAATGGTTTTGATCCATTTCCTTGTAGTTTATATATAAGAGGGCTTCAAAAAATGTGTGGAAAATGGAATTAAAAGATAATGACATTTCTCCACCATCGTTTTGAAGCCCCCTCATACAAGTTCATATTTGTTATGAAGAGAATGCCTTCACTAGACAGGACTTCTAAGAAGTCACCTTTAGCACAGCCTGATTCTTTCTGTGGATAGAAGGAAAATAGCCATTGGTTTTACTGCGTTCTTGAAATTAAAGTTAAAACTGATAGTATGGTTGAGCCCCTACTACTCTTGTAATTTGTTAGATGAACCCTCTACCCATTTAAAAAAATTTTAAAATACTTTTTTTTTTCCTTTTCTTTGCTATATTTCTTTAAACTAAAGTTGTATTCTTCTGTTTTGAAGGGTTCCCGCCCCCAACATATGTTATCCCCCCTCCTGTGGCATTTTCTATGGGCTCAGGTTATACCTTCCCAGCTGGTGTTTCTGTCCCAGGAACCTTTCTTCAGCCTACAGCTCACTCTCCATCAGGAAACCAGGTGCAAGCTGGGAAACAGTCCCACATTCCTTACAGCCAGCAACGGCCCTCTGGACCAGGGCCAATGAACCAGGGACCTCAACAATCACAGCCACCTTCTCAGCAACCCCTTACATCTCTACCAGCTCAACCAACAACAGCACAGTCTACAAGCCAGTTGCAGGTTCAAGCTCTAGCTCAGCAACAACAGTCCCCTACAAAAGCTATGCCAGCTTTGGGGAAAAGCCCTCCTCACCACTCTGGATTCCAGCAGGTACCTTTCAGCTGTGTGTACTGTTACACGGAAATGGAGTTGGGGGTGGGGGGTGATACTGAAATTATTCAGCATTTGGTCACTTTAAAATACTTGCTTGAAGCATTGAGACATTTCTTGCCTAGACTTGTAATGAATATGGGAATACAAAAGTGTTCTCTCTGCTGTTGAGTAAAGTTCAGATGTTTTCCTTCTTACCTATCTCAAGGAGAATACTTTATATCCTAACATTTTTTGTTGTTAATCAGTTACGTAGAAAAAAGTATTTTCTGTAAATAGTTTTCTCCTGTTTGAACGTAAACTAGAAAAGGGAAATTGAACTGTGTGTGATCTTTATGAATTGTTAAATAAGCTATGGTGCCAACTTAAAATATTGTCATCCCTACAGCTTTTTATGTATGAGGGGGCAAACACACACAGAATCATTCATTAAACCTCTTAAATAGTTGGATTAAAAGAACATGAGTTCAGATCCACACTCTGTTCCCAGAAAGCTCTTTGTAATGAAAACCCCAAAAGGCAAAGGAAGCTGCCTCTTTGTTTAGGGTTTTATTGGTTATAAAATTTTCAAGTTCATTCTGTGATTTCTGATTGTTGAGTGTAAGTAACACTGCATTTTATCCTCCTTTTAATGACAGGCATCTCTTTTTTAAGTACCAACAGGCAGACCCCTCCAAACAACTGTGGAATCCCCCTCAGGTTCAAGGCCCATTAGGGAAAATCATGCCTGTGAAACAGCCCTACTACCTTCAGACCCAAGACCCCATAAAACTGTTTGAGCCCTCATTGCAACCTCCTATAATGCAGCAGCAGCCTCTAGAGAAAAAAATGAAGCCTTTTCCCATGGAGCCATATAACCACAATCCCTCAGAAGTCAAGGTCCCAGAATTCTACTGGGATGCTTCCTACAACATGGCTGATAACAGAGCTGTCATGGCACAGCAGGCAAACATGGACCGCAGGGGCAAACGGTCACCAGGAGTCTTCCGACCAGAACAGGATCCTGTGCCCAGGATGTCATTTGAGGTGTGTGTTCTTTCCTGTCATGAAGCCATTTGAAGCTAGGTCTGAGGCAGCCTGCCTTTTATAAAGCTCTCTCCAGTTCATTAGTGTTAACGAGTGCCTCTAAGTAAGTGGTGCATCTCTCCAACGGCATGCAGTAGGTTTGAGTTTGGGGAACAGAAGTCTTCTGTAACTGATTGTGAACTGCAGTGGTCTGGCGGTGACATTGTGTGCAGAAATCTCTTAAATCTGATTTTTGAGAATTCTGAGACAATGAGTTCCTCTCAGTTTTGGGCTGAATCATCTAAGTTTTAAATAGGCTTACAAAGTGTTTAAGCAACTGTCTTTCTGAGAGGAACAAAATCGGCCAGTTAACTTGAACAGTGAAGGTCCTTGTCTTTCACTTTTTATCATTGAGGAACAGGTGTGTTTGTAATGTTCAAAACAGTTTTTCTGTTTTATTAGTACATGATATGCTAATCACTTTACCACTTTGCATTGTTTTGCTTGCTAGCCAAGTTAACCTTTTACACTCTGTCCATATTTTTGTCCTTTCTACTCTTTGTGTCTCTCTCGGTGTCTGTGTGCCACCTCCTGTCTGCATACACTGCATTTCCCACCACTGACCACGGTTCCCCTTTGACTTGAGTTGCCTTCATCAGCCTAATCATGCTACTTACTCCTTTGTGCTTTTCTTTTGTCTTCCCTTATTGCATCTTACTGTGCTCCTTTCTATCACTAGGACCCCAAGAGCTCCCCTCTGCTTCCTCCGGACCTGTTAAAGAGTCTGGCTGCCTTGGAGGAAGAGGAAGAGCTGATTTTTTCTAACCCTCCTGATCTTTACCCAGCTCTGTTGGGGCCTCTCGCCTCTCTTCCTGGACGGAGTCTCTTTGTATGTATTTGGCATAATTCTGCTTCTTGCTCTAACCCCAACTTCTTTTCTAAGGTTTAGTAGTACTTGAAATAGATGGTTTCTTCTTTCTGGGGCTACCATTCTTTAAAGAGATGTAAAACACATTTCCTGATGGCCCAAAACCCAACCAAATAAACCAGCCCGACTTACAGCAACTCTACAGGACGGAAGAGAACTGCTCCATAAAGGTTCCAAGGCTGTTACCTTTACCAAAGCAGACTACCTTGTCTTCTCCCACAGAGCAGCTGGGGGATTTGGACCACCAACATTTTGGCTAGCTACCAAGCACTGTATCCACTGCACCACCAGGCTCCTTTGGTCCATATTAACCCAAATGGGAATAGAACATGGCACAGTGTTTCTGACTTCATAGATCCCCCCCACATCTTGGTATGTGTTAGCCTAGAAGCAACTTGCAGGGCTGTTCACACACAGTATGTGATTCTGGCAAATTAATTAATTTTTCAGGTACCATGTCCATCTGGACCCAAATTTCAAGTGTCATTTAATCTTGCGTAGAAAGCAAGTTTTCTCCTCAAATATACTCAAAATACAAAAGGAAGTATGTTCTGGGTTTTTCAAATCAACATTAAATAGTATGTGGCCTCCATGTTTGGCTAACTGAACCCAGGAAAAGCCCAGCTCTGAATCCGGAGCCTGATTCATGAACAGTCTGAGAGAAAATGCAGGGCGTGTTAAACTGTTAAATGAGTGAATAACTAGGGTGACCTAAAATCTAAGAATTGATCAGTGGAATCTTTTTAAATTGATCTTAGAGAACACAGCTTGCATTTCAAAGAGTATCATTGTATGTACTCTCATAAATGTTTGCATTGTTTTAAGAAAGGTGGAGGCTATAAAAGATGGGATGAAATATAGGCGCTATGAGTTTTCCCCCTCACCTCACTTCATCTTAATACATAAAAAGTTTCCAGTTTTGCTTTATTGTAATACCTTTCCCACAAACACAAGCAAGGAAACCAAAGATGCATCCTAGGAGAAATAACAAGCTTAATGGCTGTTCTGACAGTAGCTGCTGTCCTGGCCCCTGAAGTTCCTGTAAGGTAGAATTTGCCTGGGTGAGTGTACCAGTAGTGTCTTCCCTGATTAGCAGAGCTAAGTGCTCCTTTAGAACGAGAATGATAGAGTGCCATGGCTGAGTAGGACTAGTGAAGTCCAGCTTGCTACACTGTTGCCTCTACGTATTTGCCTTTCTTGTTGCTTTTACTAGGGTGGCTTTAGGGACTTATTATAGTGTCTCTTTGTTCACTCTTTGCCCATCACTTGATTCCTAGCATTCCAGCCCCTCCTCCTATTGGAAATAGAGCTGATAACAAGTGTGTGTTATCAATATATTATTGTGTGCAGAAGTTCTTTGCCTGTATTGTTTGTTGTTGTTAAGTGCCATCAAGTTGGTTCTGACCCATAGCAGCCCCATATAGGGTTTCTGAGGAGTGGCTGGTGAGCTTGAACCACCAACCTTGCAGTTCAAATTGACCTTGCAGTCCAGGTGTTAACCCACAGCACCACACCAGGCCTCTTTGCATGTAGTAGGTGTTTAATAAATGTTTTCTTAACTGACTCAAATGACAGGTGAACATTAGAGATTGAGCTCTTTTTATTTTTCTAATAGCTTTCTTAGGGCCAATAAATAAAAGTTGGACTTTTAGGAACTATTTTAGTATATACCACAAACAGCTGTTTAAGAGACATAAGTTTTTTTTCTTGTTTTTGAGAATGTTTAAAGTAGGACTAATCACGGGGGGGGCGTCCTGGAAACGTAACAGTTAAAGATTGAGCTTTAGGAAGTTTGAACCCATCTCCCAGCCACTGGGCTAGAGAAAAGCCCTGGGGAATCTGCTTCCATAAAGATTACAGCCTAGGAGCCTTTACGGGACAGTTCACCTCTGTCCTGTCGGACCCCTACGAGTTAAAATCAACTCAAGAGCACACACCAAAATAAAAAGTTGTCAAGGGCATTCCTGAAGTGTGTGCCTACTTACTCAGAGGGAGCATTTTCCAGACTTTCTGCCCTGCCAATCTCTTTGTGCTGGACCAGTAAAGTTTGACTCACCTGTAGCATGTGGCGCTTAGCCAGTTAGATGGTATTAACGGGCTTGAATTTATGTCTTCTAAGCCTTACAATATACACCACAGGCCCTGTGGCACAAATGTGCTTAAATGGTGGTGCTTTACTTGGGTTCTGTAGCATTTTAAGATGTCTGTTAGGAAATGGAAGGCATATTCTAACTGCTTTTTTTTCCCCCCTGGGGCTTTGAAGAAATCCTTATTGGAGAAGCCCACAGAACTCATGTCACATTCATCTTCTTTCCTGTCCCTCACTGGATTCTCTCTCAATCAGGTAGGTGAGCATTTAAGATGGCACCTGCATTGTGCTTTTATTGGAAACTGTAGTAAAGAGGGAAAGAATTCAGGTTCCTTGAGCACATTTGAAATTTCACTTCATTTACTGATATTTTCTTTCCCATTATATTTCAGTCCAGCTGTTCTCCTTTTTCCTTCCCCTTCCATATATTGATGTTTTCCAGATACATGATTTTACCCTCTCTGTCTCAGATTAAAGTGAACTAGAGACTTTTTTCATTACATTAGCTTCTTATTAATAATGAAATCTTTTTAGGTCTTTGTTGTTCAGCCTAAGAAATAATTCGCGTTTTTTTTTTTCAAGCCTGAGTGATTTATAGAGGGTGAGAAAGCAAAAGGGAAAGAGAATTTCACACAACATTTTTTTAAAACAAAGGAAACCTTCAGAAGTATATCAAACGGAAAAAAGTATAAGGTGAATCAAGCATCCTTGGAATGAGTTTATAACTTGGCTGTTTATTGTCTTTCAGGAAAGATACCCAAATAATAGTGTGTTCAATGAGGTATATGGGAAAAACCTGACAACCAGTTCCAAAGCAGAACTAACTCCCGCAATGGCCCCCCAGGAAACGTCCTTGTACTCTCTTTTTGAAGGGACACCGTGGTCTCCATCACTTCCTGCCAGTTCAGGTATTAATTGGTCTTTATAGTTATTGCATTTGATGTGTACTCAAATTAATTGAATTATTATGACTTTGTATCTAAATGTTAAGGGCTGTCAAGTTGGTTCTGACTCATTGCAATCTATATAGGGTTTTTGATGTGTACTCAAATTAATTGAATTATTATGACTGTATCTAAATGTTAAGGGCTGTCAATTGGTTCTGACTCATTGCAATCTATATAGGGTTTTTGAGTAGCAGCTGGTGGGTTTGAACTGCTACCTTGCATTTCAAATTGACTTTGCATCTAGTGCTTATCCTGCAGTGCCATACCAGAACTCTGGGAATCTACTTGATAGCCCTTAACAACAACAAACATGAAGTAACTTTTAAAAGAAAATGGAGTCTCGGTGTGGCGCTGTGGGGCTAATGCCTCAGACTACAAAGTTGTTTGAACTGCAAAGTCAGTGGTTCAAGCTTACCAGCTGCTCCTTGGAAATCCTATACAGGGTAGCTATGGGTCGGAATCGACTCGACAGCACTTAACAACAAAAGAAAACAGAAAACTTGATGAGCTCATTTATGTAATGCTACTAGAAAAGTTTTGTACATTATCAGTAGCCAGCAGTTGTAAGGAAGAAAAATATGGGTTCTTAATTTACAAAGTGTATGATTTCAAGCTGGTTTTATTTTTGTTTATAGATGTTCTTGCTTTGCATGGGAAGTTGCACTTTTTAAAATGGAGATTTTTTTTTCATAACGTTTTCTAAATTTGATCTGATGCAATAGTAATTCTTCAGGATTATTGTTGTGTTGTAAAGTGCCGTGGAATTTGTTCTGACTCACAGTGACCTTTTATAGGGTTTCCGAGGGGCGGGTGAATTTGAACCTCCAACCTTGCAGTTCAGACCAGCCTTGCGGTCCAGTGCTTACGCTACAGTGCTGCACCAGAATCAGCAATTCTATTTCTGTTAGAGAAGACCAGCAGACACTTATCTGAAACAAATGTGCCAGAATAGTGTATGCAATTGATCAAAAGTGTCTCCTGTTTAGTTTTTTCATTTATTTGTGTTTGTGTGATAAGACAGATTAGTGTAGTGTATCTGGCAGGTTCAAACTGAGGGCTGTTATTTTACCGTTTCTTTTAGTAGAGTTTTCAAGTGATCAGGTCTATGGTATGTTTGCGAAACTCATCTTATCCCTTTAATTTCCTATGTTATTTTATAATAGATCACTCAACACCAGCCAGCCAGTCTCCTCATTCATCCAATCCAAGCAGTTTGCCAAGCTCTCCTCCAACACACAACCATAATTCTGTTCCATTCTCCAACTTTGGACCCATTGGGACTCCAGATAACAGGGATAGGAGGATCGCAGATCGATGGAAAACAGATAAGCCAGGTGAGATCTGGATTTCAATGCATTAGCAAAAGTGAAGTATCTTGCTCTGTACTTCCCTGATGCAAAACCTGGCGGCACAGTGGTTAAAAGAGCTCGGCTGCTAAACAAAAAGTGGTTAGTTTGAACCCACCAGCTTACTCCATGAGAGGAATATGTGGCAGTCTGTTTCCACAAACATCACAGCCTTGGAATCCCTATGGAGTAGTACTCTGCCTTGTAGGATTACTATGAGTCAGAGTCGCCTCAACAACTGTGGGTTTGGATGATCCTTCCCTGGGCTTGGTCACTTGACAATGAAGATGTGCCTTCTTGAATTCTGCTTATCTCTTTTCATCCTCTAGCCATGGGTGGGTTTGGCATTGATTATCTCTCAGCAACTTCATCCTCTGAGAGCAGTTGGCATCCGGCCAGCACTCCAAGTGGCACATGGGCAGGCCATGGCCCCTCCATGGAGGATTCCTCTGCTGTCCTCATGGAAAGTCTAAAGGTGAGTGAATTCAGAAACAGGAATTCTCGCAGCAACAATGTCTCCATTCTACCACATCAATAGCTCGGCTTTTTCTCTGAGGCACTCAGAAGAATTCTAGAAACATGGTGTGCCTTATAAATAAATTCTTGAATGGGATACTTTTTATCCCCCTCAAGTTGTAAATTCACTAGTGATAAAGCAGTATCTTCAGGGGATACAGAGGGTTTTGTTGTGTTCCAAGGCTGAGAAAATTCTAATTCATCTTGGAATATTTGAGTCTGTGTGTGATGAAATCAAAAAAGGGGATCAAATTTTAGAAATGTTTTATTTGCATAAAGCCTTTTATAGTAAAATGTCCTGTGGTACCACATAGCTGAGTTTTAGTAAAACTTTTTCTGAAGCATAGTGTCACTTTCTCTTATGTAAAGTAATACTCATGGGAACTAACTAGTTTTGAGAAAAGTCTTAAGTAAGGACTTTTTCAGATAGCTGGACTTGGGTAGAGTTCTTGGGACCTGTGCATTTATATTTAGCTGGGATTGAAAGCAGAGCCCTTGCAGACAGCCCCACATCTGCCCTGTGCTGTTTTTCAGTCGATCTGGTCCAGCTCCATGATGCACCCTGGACCTTCCGCTCTGGAGCAGCTGCTAATGCAGCAGAAGCAGAAACAGCAGCGGGGACAAGGCACCATGAACCCACCACACTGAGGCCAGAGCGGCAACCTGAGAACGAAGGTTCCATAAACCATGGCATGTTGGGCTTGCAGGACTGGCCCACACAGTCCCCTGCAGGTGGCAGCCCTCTTTTCTGTTCCTTGCTGTCAAGAGGGTGTAAGTGTTCCACCAGCCCGCTGAGTGTGCACGAAATGTCCGCAGTGCAACAAAAAGAAAAACCATCAGGAACTCTCCGTCCCCCCGGGGCCTTCCGGAGGGAGAGAGGAACTGCTGTTTGTCTCACTCAGTTACCTGACATTACTGCCTCTCACCTTCTCCATTGTGCATGTCCCCAGCCACATGGGAAGTGAAAGCTGAGAAGGAAAGGCAGATGGGAGAAGCCAATGGGAACTTCTCAGTCCTTTTTTCCTCGTTGGGGAATAAATAGGAATCCATTAATGATTGCTTTGCAGACTGAGAATGTAGTTGCAATTATTCCTGAACATCTTTTATTGTTATTACTCTCAGTAGTAAACTGTCACACTGAATTCTTCTGTACACAGATGTGCTTCTAGTCAGTGTGTAGAAGGAGAGCCCGTTCCCTGCTCCTGTGAGAGGTTGGCGGTGGCAGGATAGAGAATCTGGTCTCTCTGGCCAGTGGTCTCCCCTTTCACTCAGAAGGTTCTGGTAGACCCTGCCCTGGCCTGGAGACCCAGCAGGGAATGCCCTTCACTCTGTAGGTGCTCGAGCCCCAATCGAGGATGCAGTGTGGGTGGTGGTGCTGGGCTGGATTAGCAGGTGACTGCTGTAGGATTTTCAGTTAACGTCTTTGATTCCTGTACATTTTAGGGTAGCATAGCAAGCAGTCTGATCTGACAGAAGGCAGGCTAATCTGTCCATTCATGGCCTGATACATTTTAATAGGTAGAAGCTTTCAGTGTGGTTTTTGTTTGGTTGGTTTTTGTGCCCCCACCTTAATTACCACCCACCTCCTCGTGCCCTACCTCCATTGTTTTTTTTGTTTTGTTTTGTTTGCTCTATGCTGTATGCTAGTAATGGTTTTTGTTCCTGTTGTGTACAACATCTCACCAAGAAGCAACAGCCTGGGGTCCAGCAGTTGGGGCCCAAAGGACAGTGTAAAGAAGAAAGCAGCATCAGCGTCGCCCACAGAGGGGCCAGGCCCCTCCAGCTGCAGTCTCCTGACCCCCGTTGAAAGAGTGACACTCAAGGTAACAAGGACACGTTGCATGTGCTGCACAGAAGATACAACGTAGCCCATGGTGGAAACGGCGAAGGAAAGGGAAATAAACTTTTTATTTGATATTTATTAGGAGGAAAGAGGACTGAATTTTCTTGTGTAGAAAACAGAAGGACAGCATTTCTGTCGGTCATTTCCTGGAAGAGTCCCGTTTTAAGGGGAAATTATGGAAACAATCTAAATGTCCAGTTGCTGTATTCGTGGTAGGGCCTGTTTTCTGGGAGGTTTCTCCTTGTGTCTGTGTGGAGTGGGGGTGCACACGTGCCCCACTGCTCTCCTGGGGGAGGGGGTGGTCTGGATTGTGTGTGTGTTGTTAGGTTGGGCCTTTAGAGCTGGGAATGAGCTGCAGAGCAAAGCGTATCCAGGAGCCCTGCTTGTCACTGGAGGCTGGGCAATCCTGGCGATGAAAAGGAGGGAGATGAATGCTCACTGCTCTTCAGAAAGTGGTTGGAGCCCCCCATATGCTTACATAAATGCTCTTTTAGTTTGACATGGTGTTTGGGTTTTGTTTGTTTTTCAAAGGTCTGAAAGGGTGAATTCCCCCTCCCAGCCCAATGGCAGTATGAAACCCTTCGTGCTTCTTCTCCAGCCCCTCTGTGTCACCTGTCTCCTCACACCGCCTCCTTACCCGCCTCCCCGCCAGTGTGTGTGTGAGCTCTGCATTCTGGCAGCTGCAACCTTCCAGTGTTGGAACCACCACTGATTGTTGTGCTCTAGACAAGCCAACCGGGTTCACCACCTCACTCCCGGCAGTCCCATCTGCAGTCCCATTTCTGCATGAGAATTTGTTGTTTGAAATGTCTTCTGACTTGGGGCGGGGTTTCTCACCTTAACAATCCTCACTGTGGAGTGAAGAGGGTGGGAGGAGGAGAGTCTTCATCAGAAACTGGTTTGGTGTAGCAAATTTTCTGAAGTGGTTTTTTTCTCCCTCTTCCCCCGCCCCCCCCCCTTTTTTTTTTTTTTTTTTGCTTTTTGTTTTGTTTTGCTTTTTTGTTTGTTGTCTGTGCAAGACCTGCAACTGCTAAAATCAGCTTTGCCTTTAATTAAACCATGTTCTCTCCAACCATACCTGTGTGTATTTTTCTTCCTATCCTAGAAGATACAGTATTCCTGAAAATCTCAGCCCTTTTGTGAACCATAAGCAATGTATGTTCAAAGTTTCATTCAGCCTTTCAGATTCCTGGGGGAGCTGCTGTTCCAGCTGTAGTACACACTACTGCGTGTCAGAGACCTACGTGATCTGAAGGCGCCCATCCTACCACCAGAGTCCACATATGTAGCCCACATAATTACATCAGACTCCATACACAACTTCAGATACACACACACTTGGTTTCAATATGCCTGTCATTACTAAAACCATCATATCAACAAAACATTCAAAGCAGAAAATTACTTGGTTGTGAAAGGGTTAACACACAAGCAATTAAAACCATTTGGTTTATAGACTTTGTAGTTCACAGTCAGTGCTGATCAGACAGCACCACACCAGCATTTGTTTTTTTAGCAGCCTAGAAATCTAGAGCATTTCTAGGGAAAGAGGGACTCTTTTTATCAGGCAATTAGGAGATAGTTTATCCTTTTGGCTTGTAAAATACACGATTTCTACAGGGAGCGAGGTGACTGTAGGATAGGCTCTGGGCTGCTAACCACAAGGTTGGCGGTTCAAGGCCACCAGCTGTTTTACAGGAGAAAGATAAGGTTTTCTGCTTCCACAAAGATTTAGACTCAGAACCAACTCAACATTACTTAACAGAAACTTGCTGTTCTTAGCTTAACAATTAACAGCAACTTACTGTTCTTAGCTTTGGGGGCTGTTTTTCTTCCAGGGTGTGCAGCGTGCCCCCCATGGCATCCTGGTAGGCCTGCCTTCTGCAGCATACTGAAAGTCTGTTGGCATTTCCCCTGTATAGCTGGCATTTCACTTAGGCTATGGCAGCCTTAACACCATCAGAGACAAATTCTGTCTAGAGTTCCTCTAACTTTTTCACAAGTACCTACAGATAGTCCTCAAGTTATGAATGAATGATATTTACAGCAAGCAAATAGGACCACAACCCCATAAAGGCTATTCTATAAAAACTCAAGGTATACACATGTAATCGTTCATTTTAACAAATGAACACTACTTTAGGACACATCAAAGGAAAGCATTATTGTTACTGTATTAAAGATGTTCTATTTATCTGAATGTTTAATTTTTATGCATAGAAAGATAAACTACATATTTTATACTATGACAGGCACTTGACTGATAACTGTTTTGACTTAGGAATGGCATTGGTTCAAAATCCAGGGACTGCCTATACACACTAAAAATTTGGCAAAACCATCCATACTCTGTAAGAAAAGGAGAGGGAATTAAGGCCAGGTCCTAAGGTTTAGTATTTATGGAATCTGAACACTCCGTTGGACCTTGAGAAATTGGGTCATTTGATGAAATTAGAACCAGTGGGGCAAACCCTTGGCATTCATTCCATTGTATGTACTGGTGCAGTGCCTTTATACAACACTGACAGGATACCGCTGCCACCCGGATGCTTGCACACTGCTGCTTTCCATTCAGTATGTTCCTCTCTGAGAAGTAGAAAAGGATGTATTTGGTGTGGCTCTGTAAGATCAGCACTGGACTATGAACCACAAGGTCAGCAGTTGAAACCCAACAGCTGCTCCTTGGAAACCCTATACAGGGTCACACTGACTCATAACCGACTAGACAGCACTTAACAGCATTCAGCATGTTCCTCTGAGAAGCAGAAAAGGATGTGTTTGTTCTCTAGAATTGAATGCTGTTCTCCCCATAGGAACGTAGTTCAGTCTAGGGTCTGTTTAAACCATGGAACTTCAATGAATACAGAGAAGTTAATTTTGTATGTGTGCTTTCTGAATGGCTATAAAAGTCTAATGGTATTGCTACACAACAGTACTTAACCTTGCTCCTGGGCCTGGACTCTTGGTGCCACCTTTGTTTTTATAAGGTAAGTTTTTTACTGAGAGATCACACATACAGAAAAGCAAACCCTTATCATTAAATGTACAATTCAGTAGATTTTACACAAAACAAACATACCTGTGTAGCCAAGAATCCTAGAAGACCCCTTCCAAACCTTAGCCCAGAGTAAATCGTCATTCTAAGTCCTCACGTTTTTGTTTGATGGTAGGTCAGGTTATCACAGGAGAGTAGGTTAATTGACACTTCTCATCGGCAATGTGTCACAACAGTGTACTGCAGAGCAGTGGCTGAGATGCGCTTCCTTCTTCAGCTTTGCACTTGGTAGAATATGCTAGACCTCTGCAGGAGCTGCACGTTTTTCAACAAAAGCTTTAGGGAAAATGCCAATCTTCCCTTTGCACTCTCCTTCCAGCCATTCTTCATTCACTAGCAAAGGAAAAGTATGCCTCAGTTTCTAAAACCAGTATAAGAACATCACTGTGTAGCTAATCCACAAACAATTTTTGTTAACCCTCGGCTCACCCAAATGTCTGCCAAATTGTTTTCTGAAGACGATAAAGTTCCAGAGTATATTATACGAGTTAAACTGGCTTGGTCCTTAGTATATCACAGTAAAGCGTACACTCCCTTCTCTCCGTATCTACCAAGGCGATTTTTCTGTATCACTCTCACCTTTATCTCATCCCTGTTAAGTGCCACTGAGTTTGTTCCAACCTTTGTTCTGACTTATAGTGACCCTATATAGGGTTTCCAAGGAGCAGCTGGTGGGTATGAGCCACTGACTTCGTGGCTCCCAGTCCAGTGCCTGTCCAATAGTGCCACACTAGGAGTCCATCACCCCTAGCCCCTAGAAAAACGGAGCAAATTAACTGGCTGGTTAATTTTGACACTTAAAAAAAATGGTCCTGGGCGTTATTAAACTGGTTCTTACCATTGCATTTCCATCCTCCCTTTTGGGAGATGTGCACTAGATGTGCACTAGTGATGCATCCTCCCTGTTTCTGCTTTTCACTACCAATGTTTTGAGTCAGTTGTTACCCACTTTAAACACTCCCTACCCCCTTACTTTGAAATCTCCATTTCTTATTCTATTGAATTTTCTGTTAACAATTGAGAAGTGTTTTCATTACATGCCAATTCACTGTATTTTAGTCATGTAGATGAGGCTTCTTTAGTGGAAATTAAATTTTGCCTAGGTAGAAAGCTATAAAAATGTCAAACCATGAGTTCAGTCTTTCTGAGAGTGTGATCATCCAGCATGATGATCAGGAGCTTGTAAAAAAGAAAAATTGGGGATTTGCCCCTTAGTCCTGGGTCATTATTTCCAGAAGCTAGTCAGATGAATTTGTTTTGATAAGACAATAGGTTAAGAAGAAATCTGAAAAGTGCTGAGTTAAAATTCTCAACTTCTGGCTTCAATTTTTATGTGTTGATTTCTAACATTCAAAATAAGCACCAGAAAGGGCCATTTTTAACAACTACTTTTAAAGCCACATGTACCCTTTCTTCACTTAACCTTCAAAAAGTACCTCATGGGACTATAGGTTGCAGAAGATAAGCTCATACAACCGGGACTTTAAAAGTTCATGGAAAAATTATATTACCCTGTAGTTCACTTTTTCCGTGAACATTTTGAACCCCTTTTGTATGCTTGGTGCAAAAGCAAAGTTATTCCAGCCACCTTATTATTTTAAGTCTAGCAATGGCGATCTGTTTTCCAAAAACAGCCACCTTCAATAATCATGGTGTCTTACTACCTAGGTCACTTGCTGCTTGCCTGCCCATTGTTGTTAAGTGCCGTTAAGTCAGTTCCGACCCATAACAACCCTGTATAGGGCTTCCACCAATTTTGCGGTTCAAACTGACTTTGCAGTACAGCGTATTAACCTGCAGCGCCACACCAGGACTCCTGCCCATTAGAGTGACGGCAAGGCTGATCTGCTTGTGGGTACGTTCTCCAGCTAAAAGCTGGAAAGATTGAAACCACTAGGTGCAGCTTGGGTTAGCGGTTATTGATGTTTTCTCTCTGCCCTGACCTTGTTCCTGCAAATACTTAGTAGTTTTCATAATTGTAGACTTACCTTCCGATAGCACCAGAATCTCATCCCCTTCCAGAAACTCTAGGTCCTCTGGTTGGGTAGCCGCATAACTGAAGAGGGCTACCACTTGGCTCCCTTCCTTAAGCTGAGGTTCTATGGTCTGGTTGTTAGCATGAGACTTTTCATTTTCCTTGGGTTCATCTGGAAAGCCCTGGTCACCCTGAAATAATAAAGCACCTGTTAATTTTCCTGACCAACAAGTGATCATTGAACATCACTCAAGAAAGCAGTGACATGTCAGTGCAGAGCCTGGGATACAGTTTATGAACACTAGATGGTCAGATACACCAAACCAATCCCACTGCCATGGAGTGGAGTCCAACGCAGGTTAAGTGCCGTCGAGTTAATAGCCACCTTGTGTGGAATTTCCAAGGAGTGGCTGATGGTTTTGCACTGCCGACCTTGTGGTTAACAGTCCAATGCTTATCCTATGGTGCCACACCAGAACTCAGACTCATGGTGTTTCTATATATGGTTTCTGAGACTTAAGTCTTTACCAGTCTCGTCTTTCTCCTATGGAGCGGCTGGTAGTCTTGAACTTCTGACCTTGAGTTTGCAGCCCAGCACCTAATCCACAACACCATCAGAGCTCTTTAGATGGTCAGATAGATGAAATCAAAAGATCAGTCGAACTGTGTGTTGTCTTTTTAAATATTTTACTGAAACCTACTGGTGTAGTACTATGAGTTAATGCACTGGACTGCAAGGTTGGTTTGAACTACAAGGTCAGTGGTTCAAGCTCACCAGCCACTCCTTGGAAACCCTATATAGGGTCACTGTGAGTCAGAACTGACTCCGCGGCAATAACAAATCTGATGTCCCCTAAAGTGAGAACCACTGTCCAGCTCCACATTCTCTTTTTAAAGCCATGAAAAAGCTTTTAGTTTCCTAAAGAATATAATATTTCTTATACATCTTAGTCACAATTACAGTCACTTTTGATACAATAATGTTCAAAAGAAGGGGAAAGGTGCAGTCTCTAGAGACATGAGTCACAGGATTTAACAAGCCACAATTAGAAATCCCACTAGGCTAAATTGTTCTAAGGAATCCAAAGACCTGAGTTTACATTCCAGCTCTGCTGCTTATCAGCTATGGGCCCCTGAGTAAGAGGAACCTGTTTCCTCACCAGAAACTGAGGCTAGAGTTATTAAATGAGAAGATGCAGGATGACCATTGACATTAATTGAACACTTGCTCTGTGACAATACTAAAATATTTGACCTCAGTAATCAATGTTTTTTGTAGAGAGTAGATATTGAATAAATGTTAGTCCACCCCTCTGCTCTTCTACTAAGTGGATAAGAACAACGTAACTTGCTGCCCCCAAGGATAAGGGGCAGTGGTAAAGCGGGTTCAAAAATGACCCCTGACTCTGGACTAAATTCCAAAAAGACTCTGCTGGGAGACTGGGAAGGATAGTCATCTATCCCTGCATAGATGGAAATGCGATGGCATCGAGTTGGTTCTGACTCAGAATGACCCTGTAGTACAGAGTAGAACTGTTCCATCCAGGTCCCTTTCTTATTCATCCTATCCCATTTATTTTCTCCCCACCCAGCAAACATAGAAACCCTCCTAATTAAGTAGAAACCCCTGCTCAGCTGTGGGGAGGAGTTGTCTGTCTCCTACCATAGGCCCAATGCTTAAAGAACTAGAACAACTTCCTGTCATGATAATTTCCTTAAAATCTACTTTAGGTGCCAAACAGCTCTACAAAAAGTCATGTACGTACGGTGTCAGCTTATGTCCCCTATTCTGGTGTGGCGCTGTAGGATCAGCACTGGACTTTGAACCACAAAGTCAGTAGTTCAAACCTACCAACTGCTCCTTGGAAACACTTTATAGGGTCACTATGGGTTGGAATCGACTCAACGGCACTTAACAACAACAAATATAAGAGTGTCTGGGTAATGCAAATAGTTAACACTCCAATTCTAACAAAAAGATTAACTATTCTAGTCCATCCTTGGCACCTCAGAAGAAAGTCCTGGTGATCTTCAGAAAAAACGGTTACTGAATCTCTATAGAGCACCCTTCTACTCTGACACATCTGGAGTCAACCTGAATCAGAGGCAAGTACAGCCAACTGTTTTCTACATTGATGTAACTGCTAATGCCACAGACTAAAATGCTAAGGCAGAAAACTCAGGTGAGTAGAGAAGAACAAACTGGTCGGAAGTCCAGATGGCAGCAGCTTTAGCCAGTGGAGACTGTGGCCTCCCTGACACCCCAGCCTTAGACATGGAGAGCTGACTGCTCAGAGCAGGCCCACCTTCCAGCCTAACTGATCTTCCTGCCTGGCTTGTATGTCCCATGAGTCATCCATCTAAAACAAGGCGTGATTGTTTCTCTCCTGCCCTCTGCTCACATGTCCTAGGTCTGCCTTTCCTCATCTGGCCCCTAGTCTCCCTCCACTCTCTCCCTCACACCCAGTAACACTGAGTGTCTTCCCCCAATGTGCTGATTCTTGGGGGAGGCCCTCTGCTCTCTCCACCTGTATGAATACATCCTACCTTAATTCACCTTGTTAATCTATACATATTCTTTTCTGACTAGTTTCGGCATCATATTCTCCGGGAAGGCTGTGCCGACTTGTCCCACTGTGCTGCCGTGTATTTGGTTAGCTACACTTGGATCACACCGTCTGACTGTGTTAGACCACTGAACATGATGCTTTTAATTGTTAATCTGCTTGGCAAAGGGCCTGTGTCTTGTTAGTTTTTATATCTCCAGTGCCTATCTACAGAGCAGTTGGTGCTTAGCAGATGTTTGCTGAGGGATAAATGTCCCTAGACAAACATTGGAAATGTCTCAAATGCCTATTCACAGGTGAATGGCTAATTGTGGTTGTGTGTACAATGGAAACCCACTTAGCAATGAAAAGGAATGGATTATTGAAACACAAGAGACGCAACACACTCCGCTTACATGAAATTCCAGGACAGGCAACACTAAGGTGACAGAAAGCAGATCGGTAGTTTTGGGTGGTTTGCAGGAAGGAATTAACAGCAACAAAATGAAATGCCAGTCTTTCCTTAGGAGGCGAGGCTAAAGGGCAAAGTCCACACGTCTTATTTGTAGCTATGACTCCTAACCTGGAACATTGCTGCCTTCTCCCTTTATTTTTATTGGGAAGTCAGTTCACTGTTTTCTAGATCTCAAGGCCATTACAAGACCGTGCTGTTCATTGTCAGCCTCCTCCACCACTCGTCTGTCAGTTTGTTGCACTGTGGTGGCTTGTGTGTGGCTGTGATGCTGGAAGCTGTGTCGTGGGTATGTGTAATGCCACGGGGGTCATCATGGTGGACAGGCTTCAGAGGAACTTCCAGACTAAGATTAGGAAGAGGAGAGGCAGACCACTTCTGAATGGTTAGCCACTGGATCACACTGATGAATCCTCTCCAGTAAGCAAGGCAAGCACAAGCTTACTTGTGTCTCCTTACTGATCTAGCAAACAAGTTCACATGTGGTGAAAATCATGTGAAACTCTTCACTACAGTTTAGTAAATCAGCACAAGTAAGCTCCTGTGTACCTTGCTTACTGATCTCCATCCCTATTGGGGATTGTAAATCTGCAAAGAGGCGTTGACTCTGTAGGAAGGTGCTGTGGGGATGAAAGATAGACAGATGGCAGGAACAGCTAGAAGCAGAATCTTTGCTGTGGTAAAACAATGTGAACCTGTTCACTACAGACTAGTAAGTAAGCACAAGTAAGCCTGTACTTACCTTGCTTTATTGGGTCATTCAACACTGACATGGTGGTTAAGAACACAGGTCAACTCAGGCTGAAACACTAGCCTCTCTGAATCCTGACTTCACCATTGGCCAGCTGTGTAATCCACCCCAAATTGTCTGACCCCTCTTTGCCTTGTTTCCCAAATTATGAACTGGAGTATATAATAACCTACTTCAGAGAGCAGGGATTAAAAGAATACCTACAGTCTTTAGCACAGTATTTGATGCATGTGAAGTTCTCAGTGAGTGCGCACTGTTAGTAGACTCATAGCAACGTATAGTGTCAGAATGGACTTAAAAGCAGTAGGGTGGTTTTAATTAGTAGAAATCTGTTAACAAGAATCATCTCTTTGAGAAATAAATGTTATGTTCTTTCGCCTCCCAATTGTTCTCCCTGTGGATATTTAAGACCATGAAGAATAGCTATGAACTTAGCCTCAAGCTATGACTTGATTTTTAAATTGCTTAAACAAGAATGGGGGTTTTCTGTGGGTTCCTGGCCTTCTGGACCTGCTCTTCTCTCATGGGAAACCATTTCCCGACTGCAGAGAAAAGGGAGGCAGAGTTCCCCACTAAGCATGGTGCCTGACACCGTTTGTTTGTTGTTGTTAAGTGCCATAGAGTTCGTTCCGACCCACAATGACCCTGCAAAGGGGTTCCAAGGAGCAGCTGGTGAGTCTGACCCTCTGACTTTATGGTTCAAATTGAGTTTGCAGTCCAGCATATTAACCCACAGTGCCACACCAGGACTCCACTTGGCACATGTTGTTGTTGTTGCTGAGTGCTGTTGAGTCCATTCAGACCCATAGCGACCCTGTATCGGGTTTCCAAGGAACAACTGGTGAGCTTGAACCACCGACCTTGCAGTTCAAACAACTTTGCAGTCTGACGCATAAATGGTTGAGTTAAGTGGTACAGCAGAAGGGGACCTGACTCTTACCACTGTGTTCTCACACCACAATGTCAGGCAGTAGTTTTTCACGTGGCCCCAGGCCGCCTTCATGCTCTCTTCTGAAAGGGGCACCAGTTCACTGCTGTCCTGAGGTTTGTAGCTGGATAGGGATAAAGAAGTAAAAATCAAGTCAGAGACCATCGGTGAAAAAACTATGTTTCTCCTCTGCCCTCCAGACCCCACTGGATCTCCATTGTACCCAAAACTACTGTTTGCACAGAGCTCACCTCAGCCTAGTATGTGCTAGCAGGAGCTCCAGTTTCTTAGCTACCATGTCCACTACCTGGCTGTAGGGGAGCCCAGGCTGAGTCTCCATGGCTACGGTGTACTTGTAGTGCACCTTGAGTGTGTAGGGCTTGGGCACAGGGAGCTTTATTTCCTGAGGGGAGAAGAACAAAGAGAACTCATGAACACCCGAGGCTTTGTGTGTGGGTGCAGGGAGCACTGTGAGGTTTAACTTATGTGTCCACTCGTCCAGGCCAGGGTACCCAGTGGTTTGGTCAAGCCTTAGCGTACTTGCTGTTATTAGTCTAGTTGCTGTTACAAAGTAGTTGCATGTGATTAAAGCTGATGACCTTAAAGCAGATGACCTTCCATAATGTGGGCAGGCCTCAATCATTTGAAAGCTTCCAGAGCAAAAAAGGAATTGCCCTTGGGTGTGTGATTCTGCATTCAGGCTATAGAGACTTTAGCCAGAACACTTTGAAGTAAATTCTTTGAAGTAAATCACTCTCTCCCTATCTGTTTGTCTGTCTATCTATATGTTGTTGTTGTGTGCCATCAAGTTGGTTCTGACTCATAGCCACCACAGGGCTTCTGAAGCTACAATCTTTCCAGGAGTAGAAAGCTTCCTCTTTCACCAGCAGAGTGGCTGGTGGATTCAAACTGCTGACCAATGTGTAACCCACAGGGCCCCTTTATATTTATACACACACAGTGGGGCTTCAAAAAGTTTGTGGGAAATGGAATTCAAAGATAGTGGAATTTTTCAACAGACCTTTTAAAGGTCCATAGTATCTGTTTGCATGTGTGTATATTGTTGTTCCACACTCATCCGTCAATTTGTTGTTCTGTGGTGGCTTGAGTGTGGCTGTGATGCTAGAAGCTATGCCTCTGGTGTTTTTAATACCACCGGGATCATCATGGCGCACAGGTTTTAGAGGAACTTCCAGACGAAGACAGATTAGGAAGGAAGATGGTGGTTCAAACCCACCCGTTGCTCCTCGGAAACCCTCTACTGTGTTACTATGAGTCAGAACCAACTGAAAAGCACTTCTCAACAACAACAATCTTTACAGACCAGATTGCCAGCTTTCTCCCTAAGAGCCGGCAAGGTGGATTTGAACCACCCATATTTTGATTAGCATATGAGTGCTTAATCATTTGTGCCCCCAGGGCCTATATTGTTGTTGTTATACCCCGTATTTCACAATCTGTTTTTGACAACCTCTCCCAAGTATTTTAGTCAGCATGCTATGCTAATTTTTTACATTGCTATGTGATACATTACCATATCACAATTATGAAAATGCCTCCTGTGGAGAGGTTTGGCATTTTATTTGCATAAAAATATGGGATGTTTGTTGTTAAGTGCTGCGAAGTGCATTCCTACTCATAGCAGTCCTGTATAGGGTTTCCAAGGAGTAGTTGGTAGGTTTGAACTGCTGATCTTTTGGTTTACAGTCCAGTGCTGATCCTACAGCATACCAGCTCCCCAAAATATGGGGTATATATGTATGTATATACATAGATATATATGAGGTGGGCTTCAAAAAGTCCATGGAAAATTTGAAGGAGAAGATAATGGAATTTTTCCACAAACTTTTAAAACATTTATGTTTTTACTGTGTATATGTGTGTGTAGGTATGTATGTCTATGTATATGTATGTATTTGTATATGTATATATGTGTGTGTGTGTGTATATATATGTATATGTATGTATGTGTGTATATATATGTATACATATATATATGTATATACATATGGAGCTCTGGTAGCGTAGTGGTTACAAATTGGGCTGCAAACCTCAGGGTCAGCAGTTCGAAACTACCAGCTGTTCTGCGAGAGAAAGGTGAGGCTTTCTGTTTCCATAAAGATTTACAGCCTCAGAAACCCTGTACAGGATCGCTATGAGTCAGAACCAACTCCACAGCACATCACCACCACTACCATATATGATATATGTAAAGAGAGAAAGAATGTGTGAATGAGTGAGTGTCCTGGTGTGGTGCTGTAGGATAAGCACTTCGACCATAAGTCAGTTTGAACCACAAGGTCAGTGGTTCAAACTTACTAACTGCTCATCAGAGAGAAAGCGAGAGCCCTGGTGTGACACTGTGGGTTAATGCACTGGACTGCAAGGTCACTTTGAAACACAAGGCCAGCAATTCAAGCTCACCAGCAGCTCCTCAGAAACCCTACACATATATGTATATATGTATGTGTGTGTATATATATACTACTGCACTACAACAGGTACCTATATACATACCACACACACACATATATATATGTATGTGGTATATATATATATCACTTCTCTAGAGAGCCCTGATTAAAACAAAGACCCTATGTATATGTAGCAAGAACATAGTGGTTCTATAGGATAAGCACTGGACTGCACCAGCCGCTCTTCAGGAGAAAGATTTACAGCCTCAGAAATCCTATATGGGTCAGTGAGTTAGAACTGACTGGACAGCACTTAACAACAACAACAACATAAGTAGCAGGGAGAGACCATTGCGTAGCTGGCTTTATAGCATTGTGAAGTACTTTTACAGGCCCTCTAGCCCCATGCTTGTTTGGTCAGGAATTCTTACTGAAAGAAATCTGGCCCAGTGAAAAATGCATGCATGGGAGTAGGGGAATGTTGAGGGAGTTGAGGAGCCCCAGCCCATAAGCTGTGTGTCTGGTGATAACTGGCTCCCCCCTCCCTTTGGGACTCTTCTGTAATCCAGACAGACTTGCCCACAGAGATAGCCCAAGCTCATCCATCATTTACGATTTGAAAACAGAAGAAGGACAAAATTGTTACCTTTGGCTCGTCTTTTGGTTTCTGACCTAAATGAAGAAGGGAGGGAATAATGCAAAAGATGATGGTGAATGAACAGTCTAAATAAGATTTACAGTTTATATATACATACATGCATACATTTGTTATTGTTAAGTGCAGTCAAGTCGGTATTGACTTATAGTGACCCTGTATAGAGTTTCCGGAACAGTAAATCTTTGCAGGAACAGAAAGCCTCATCTTCCTCCCACAGAGTGGCTGGTAGGCTTGAACATCTGACTTTGTGTTTCTTAATCCATTTTTATCCTACAGAGCCACAGTGCTCCCATATATTTATGTGTGTATGCATATATGTTGTTGTTGTTAAGTGCCGTCGAGTCAATTCTGACCCATAGTGACCCTGTATAGGGTTTCTGAGGAGCAGCTGGTGAGCTTGAACTGCTGACCATGCAGTTCAAATGGCTTTGCGGTCTGGCGCATTAACCCACAGCGCCACACCAGGACTCCATGCATACTACTCTGAACATGTGGTGAGCTAGATATAGATACACACATACACACACATACACACATGTATATGTATATCTATATACATGCATGAACATATGAACACACGTGTATATGTATATCTAAATAGAGATACATGCATATCTATATCTATATATTCTTGTTATTGTTAAGTGCTGTCAAGTCAATTCTGACCCATAGCGACCCTGTGTAGGGTTTCCAAGGAGCAGCTGGTGAACTTGAACCACTGACCTTGCAGTTCAAATGACTTTGCAGTCTCGTACATTAACCCACAGCGCCACACCAGGACTTGTGGTTCAAACCGACCTTGCAGTCCAATGCACTATCCTACTGCGCCACACCAGGACTCCATATATGTTATATGAAGGAACTTCATAAAAAGTTCATGGAAAATGGAACTAAATGATAATGGAATTTTTTGGATAACTTTTATATATATATATGGTGGTGGCTATGTGCCATGGATTCAGTTCTCACTCATAGCAACACTATATAGGGTTTCTGAGGCTGTAAATCTTTATAGGAGCAGGAAGCCTTATCTTTCTCCTGTGGAACTTCTGGTAGTTTCGAATTGTTTACTGTGAGAAATAACAGCTGGACTCATAACCACTTCGCTACCAGAGCTTTTTTATATATGTATGTGTCTGTATATGTACTCAGAGGTGAAATAGGCTCATGTGTCCACATCTAATCCTACTGTGAACATGTGGTTATATATATATACACACACACAAATATACACATATACACATGTATATATTATATATATATATATATATATATACACAAAAAACAGCTGATATATATATAAAAATATATATAATATATATGTGTATATATATATACACATGTATATATATATTCAAAGAGCTGCTGATATATATATATAATATATATGTATGTATATCTTTTGTCTTTGTTAAGTACTGTGGAGTCAGTTCCGACTCATAGTGACCCTGCACAGGGTTTCTGAGGCTGTAAATCTTTACAGGAGCAGAAAGCCTCATCTTTCTCCCGTGGAACAGCTGGTAGTTTTGAACTGCTGACCTTGAAGTTGGCAGCCCGACTCATAACCACTATGCTACCAGAGCTCCTTTTGCATATATATACATATGTATACATATATATATCAGCTGCTCTTTGTGTATGTATACATGTGTATATATGTATATGTGTGTATGTGTGTGTGTATATATACACTTTGTGTCCAGAGCAAGGGGGCTGTGTGGTCACACTGTGGGGAGAAGAAATAGGAATTTACTGGGAGGATCAGACCGTAACTCTTGTCAGGTAGCACCCTGAGTCCTCTTGTGCCCCAGGCCTGGGCTGCTGCTCAACGACCACTAACCTGGTGACAAGTGGGGTCTTCTTGGAGCACTGGAACTGGGAGGAGCAGGGATGGTAGATTCTGGAGAGGTTCCCTCCTAGAGGTGACAGAAGTGATGGTCAGAACTTTCTTTTAGACAAAGTTCTCTAGTCAGTATGGGGGAGCGCAACAGACCCACATGGAAAGGTAACAGATACAAAGGCGTTCCTAAAAGTTGGGGTGGTGGTGACATTCGGGGTAGGCGAAGGAAAGTGTTGGCTAACAGGGGAAGTGAGCTTGGCCTGGTGAAAATAGAGATCACAGTTGGAATAAGCTTCCTGAAACCCCATCTAAAAGGCCCTCCTTGCTGTCTCATCATCCCTGTCAGCCATGTTGGAAATCTGCTGGAGATGGGGTAGGGCACTGAGCTCTTGTTGTAGCTGCAGAGGACACTGCTCTTTCAAAAGATATCATTCTTCAAAGCAATACCTCTCATCTGCAGGGCTTTTTAACCTTTCAAGGCATCCAGCTATCAGGACTCTGAGCAGAAGACACCTCATTGCAGTTTAGAGGGAAACAGACTCCACAGCTGTTAGATAGTTTTCATGGCCACTCAGATCCCACACAGACCACTCACCAGGCCTGGCAGAAACACAGACCTTTGACGGGGAGGGAACTGGTGGTAGCAACTTCACTAGGCCCACTCTGATTCGATGTGCTAAAGCAGAGCTCTTTCTTTCTTTCTTTTTTTTTTGTAATGGCAAAACCAGCCCCCACACTGATTGCTCTTCTTGCAGTTGAGGAACTGTCTTCTGGGAAGACCTAGCTCTCTATACTCTAGGCTTTGAGTCCAGTTCACCCCTGGCCAGGAGCCTTCTGCAGAGGCCTCTATTCAGCACATCTGAATGTTTCCCCTCATTCCTCAGCTCCAGGTGGGCTCAGAAGGAGCGAGTCCTTGTTCAGTGCTGACGGCAGTGCCTCTCCCTCTGCCAGGGAGAGGCTTGTCACGGGGGAAGCAGGTCAGGTATTGGTGCTACAATACCTGGGGCTGCTGCTGAGGGTGGATCCGAAGCTCAACAGGTTCCAGGTAGTTGCAGGGAACAAGCCCCTTCTGCAGTGCAAATGACAGAATCAGAGAGGGAAAAATAAAGATGCGCACTCAATCCTTACAACACGTGGCAGCCTGAGTCGCCATGAGCAGTGGGGTTAAAGTAGGATTCAACTGCTTTGCAAACCAGGTGGCTGCTCGGATCACTCTGCCTCTGGTGCCAGGGTCCTCTGCCTGCAGCACCACCCCTGCCCCTCTGCATACCTGCCCGTTGAACATGACCGTGGCCCAGTTATCATTCTCCTTCTTCAGGACAAAGACTATGTTCCCTGGCATGACCTGGAGCTCCTCCGATGTTTCAGGCACAAACCCAAACAGCACACGGTGAGCCTCCCCTTCCAGAGCCCTGTGGAGGATTAGACACAGACCCTGTGTTCAGCCTTGACCATATCTCCTCTCATGATGCCATGGAACAGACACAAACAACCTAGACCCAGCTCCCTTTACTACCTGCCTGAGGGCCCTCCCTACACGGCCCTGAGCAGGATGCCTATCTGCCTCAGGCCCTTGGGGAATTTCCTGTGATGGTCTGCACACCCGTATTCACAGTGGAACAACTCGAAGTAACGGAGTTCCTTCCCTTCTGAGGAGGAAGGCTCGGGGTATACTTGGTCAGCTCTCTGGACTGGGCTTGATGCAGTGAGGAGTAGCCAGGAGAAGAAAACAAGGTGGAAATCAGAGATGAGAGACAGCTGGGTGAGACATAAGAGGTAGACCCAAACCAGCAAACACCAATTGTCATTAAGTCAACTTCAACTCATGATGACCTCAGGTGTGTCAGAGTAGAACTGTAATTCACAGCATTTTCACTGGCTAATTTTTCAGAAGTAGATCGTCAGTTCGTTCATCTAAGGAGCCTCTGAGTGGACTTTGACCTCCTCCCTTCCGGTAACAACACCAGGGACTTTAAGTGGGCCAGGGTGAAATGATCTAAAGTCAGCATGGGGCTGGGGTAGGGTGAAGGGGATGGAGAATAGCTGTGAGAAATATGAGCAATGTGTGAGGTGGGTTTTTGGGTGCCTGGTTGCGTGATATGCAATGGCGTTTCCTTATATAATGTCTTCAAGGTTATGAGGTGTTCAATTTGTGCCATTTGGGAATATGTTATTGAGACGCCAGCTTCAAGGCTGCCTGATATATTTGGGTTTCACACTCCCACCATCCACTCTGGACTTGCGGCTTGCTATGGATTGATCTGTATCTACCCATAATACGTGTTGTAAATCCTAACCTCTATGTCTGTGGTTATAATCTCATTTGGGAACAGTGTAGGGTATGTCTTGAGTCAGTGTCTTGGAGATATAAGAGACTCAACAAACAGTCGAAAGGAAAGAGATGGGGTAAGACTGATGCCAAGCCACGTGCAGATCTCCAGGGAACCAGGAAGCAGAAGCCGAAGAGACTAGGGCCTTCCTCCAGAGCTGACAGACAGAGAAATCTTTTCCCTAGAGTCAGCACTCTGACTTTGGACTTCTAGGCCCCTGAACAGTGAGAAAACAAATGGCTGTTAAAGCCTGTGGTAAATACCTGTGGTATTTCTGTTAACACTGCACCAGGCAACTAAGACACTGCTCTTCCTGCCCAACTCTGTTACTTTCCCCTCAGCCCTTCCTTTTCCAAACATAGCATCCGTTTCTATAAGAAATAAACTCCTCCCGCTGGCAGGTGTGGTGCTGTGGGATGAAGTACTCAACTGCAAGGTCAATTTGAATCACAAGATTCAAACCTTGGAAACCCAAACAGGGTTGCTATGAGTCAAAACCAACTCAACAGCACTTAACAACAGTAACAAGAACAACCAGCTGGCAGGAGCTTGGGAATCATTCAGTCCCCTTGTTTTTTTTTGTAACTGCTTGGTACTACACATAGTAAAGTGCTTTGGTTTTTATTTCCACATATTTAATCTTTATTGAGTAAGGGCAAGTGGTGGGGCATGTGCTTCCTCACTTGGAGAAATTTCTTAAATAAATCATCTTATCTAACAGAAGAATGACTTCCTTTTCCTGAGTCCTTCCTCTTCTTCAGAAAACATGTGCCAGGAGGGAGTACACACCACCTATGCTTTCCAGCTGCCCCTACTCTGCTCCCCCTGCCCAGAGAGTGATGGTTGCCCCTTCTTCAGAAGAGAAGGGACTTTGCTGACTGTCAGATCAGCATCCTGGCCCCAAGCAACATGGTTCTCAGACCTTGCTACATTTCAGCAAAAACCCTCCCTACATAAGTGACTGTGCACAGTAACAGGAATTCACACTCACACACCAGGACTCCTGTGTAGATGTGGTGGTGGTGATGTGCCATGGAGTTGGTCCCGACTCATAGTGACCCTGCATATGGTTTCCAAGGTTGTAAATCTTTACGGAAGCAGAAAGCCTTGTCTTTCTTCCAAAAAATGGCTGGTAGTTTTGAACTGCTGACCTTGAGGTTAGCAGCCTGACTCATAGCCACTACAGTACCAGAGCTCCTTTGTGTAGGTGTTGTTGTTGTTGTTAAGTACCACTGAGTTGATTCCAACTCATAGCAAAACTGTAGAGGGTTTCCAAGGAGCAGCTGGTAATCTTGAACTACCGACCTTGTGGTCAAACCAACTTTGCGGTCCAGAGTATTAACCCGCAGCGCCATACCACTGGGCTCTAATACACAATCCCACCACCATCAAGACCCCCCTCCTACATTGTTTAGGAAGTCATGAGTTGCTGTTTATGGTGACAGTTGCACTTCATACTACTAACTCGTATACCTGAAAATGGTGAGTTGGCAAATGTTGTGGTATACATATTTTACAACAATAAAAAATGAACACAAGTTTTTTGTTTTTTTTTTTAAAAGGACAGGGGCTCCCAACCCCACTATATCACTGAAAACAAAAGGCTCCTTATACACAGGAAAATCCCAGAAGATTTAGACCCTGGCCTTGGTTGCATCTTGTTCACCCTCTTTAACACCATCACTTACAACTTGGAACTGGAATATTCTGCATATTGGTTGTAACTTACCTGAAGTTCTCTGGGGTTTTGGGTCTGGGTGGAGGCTCAGCTGCCTTTTGAACATTCAGGAGAAATGAAGGTGGGAAGACAATGAGGCGGCAAGGAGAGAGAGAGAGAGCAGGCTATTAGTGGTAATTTGAGTATTTTTCCAGACTAGAATATCAGAGAGTGCCTTTCTGGCTGCATCAGAACACTGTCTAGGAGAAGTGCACAGTATGCCCTGACCGAGCGCTGGAAAACAACCCCAGCCACCTGAGCACACATTGCTCTAGCACAGAAACTGATCTTGAGTCTGACCTGCTTTCTGGAGAGGTCTAGCTGTCCCAGAGCAATGCTTATCCCAGGGGTGCTTCTGACCTTGAGCTTTGTCCCTTTCCTGGGACAGTTTCTGAGAGTTCTGCTCTGTAATTGCTGTGTACTTTGTCACACGATACTTCTGGGTGTTTACAATGAACTCCGGATCCGCTGAGGAGGCCTGGGTTGCCTTTCCGATGGGTGTTTCCTGTTCTACAATGGCTATCATACAGCCCATTTTTCTGGGTTTGCTTCCCCTCTTGCTGTCCTCTGGTTGAACCAAAGTCTGAATGACCTCACCAAGGCTTTCTTCAACCATATTGTAGAGAAAGAGACAAAAGAATCTTGATGCTGTCTTTCCTACTGTCCCTCTTGGCTCTTGCCACCTTGCAGATCCCCAGGGTCAGCGGTCATCGTCCTGACCCCTGGGGGCTATCAGAGCTCTAGGTATGACCAGTGTGAGTGTGGACATGATGTGTAGATGTGGCTGTGAGTAGAAAAACCTTCCTCCAATAGTGCTGCTCTACGCTCTTGCCCATCCTGGATCTACTACAACAGACCGTGCACCTTCCTCAGCCTGCTTTACTCTCTTCTTAACTTTCTCAAGGAAGCTCTGCCTTCACATTTCTAGACCCCTGACATACAGTCTATCTGAGATCACCTCTGTGAACCAGTTTGGAATGAAAAATGAATGCTTTACTCTGGGAGCCCTGCATGTATCCCCAGGGGATGCCCCCTGCAACACACTGGCAAATGAGGCAAGTGAGGAGAGTTCTAGTCCTCAGGCCTACAGCTGAGAAGAGATTTTGTGAGAAGATTCGATAGCTTGCTTTTCAGTTGTCTGAAAGAATGATCAAGTTTTCAGGAGAGACAGTATTAACAGACTTTCTCTTAGAACATAGAGAAGTGAAGACTGGCATTTTGTGGGGAGCACAGGGGTTGGTTTCAGAGCACTAGAGGTTTAGGCAGAAACCACCCTACTCCCTTGCCAGCCATGGAGCCTGGGACTGTGAACAGACACACTGAGAGAGGTCAGTTAAAGGCAGCTCAGTTCAAATATCTCCTCATCTTGGGACAGCTCCCCAGACCAAGATCCAAAGAGATGGTCAGGACGCTCTCACCTGTGGTTGAAGAGGGGCAAACCCAGAGAAGCTGTCTTGATGCACCACAGATGCCACCACCTAAAATTGAGAAAGAAAAGTGTGAGGGCTCCTCTCCTTCCACAAGTGGACAGTGGCTACGGGTTGGATTACTAACCTTTTGGGCTAGAACTTCCAGCAACTAAGAAATAAGTACCCACCTCCATCCCCTGCTAAGCCAGCTTCTATCAGCGTTTGCTGCTATGACTGAACCGCTTCTCAGCCAGTGTGCAACACCAGCCCCCAAATGTATCCCGGTTAGGCACAGTTTTGGAAGGGGTATTCCTGGCTGTTAACTCACTTTGGAGCACTTTTGAAAGGATGTAGGACAGAGTTTCAGAAGGAGTCCAGTTTATGCAGTCTAATCTCAAGACTGTGGAAGTGGAGCAAGACTTCTCAGAACACTGAGACGTGAACTACAAGGAGCATTAAGCCAAGAGGAGCCCCTGTGGGTCATTTTTCCTGGTCAGATCTCTCCACATTTAGTGAGCTCCTCATAACTCCGTTTTCTTTTCTATTGGCTCAGTCCTCAAGACTCAGCGTTTGGGAGTAACCTCATGGCTCTTGCACATGGTCAGGCTAGAAGGGAAGAGAGGAGCTGAAAGAAAAGAAACCAGAAGTATTTGCCTTTCTTTCAGCAAGACCTCCACACTAAACATGTCCGTATCTACCATTCCAAGAGCAGAACCACCAGGTGGTGGCCACTTCCCATGAGTCCCTTGTCTGCACAGACCACCCACAGGAGTCTTGGTGGGGAAGCTCAGTGTTCCCACCTACCGTAGCCTTGCCCAGATAATCCTTCTTGGCCAGCTGAGCCACTTGTCTCTCATTGGGTCGAAACAGCCTGCCCACAGGGATCACCACCGGCTCATACAGCTTCTGCTTCTGTAACATAGAAAACATAGGAGCTGCTTTATCTATAAAATGAAGGGACAATACTTACTCTGCCTCCTTCACTGAATGCATTCAATGATCAAATGACATAACCTTGCAAAAGCACTTTTCCTGAATTTATAAAGACAGATGTTTTTTGTTTTTTCATTTTTTTTCAGGATATAATCAGAGAATAAAGATTAATACTGCTGTTTTTAAATTATTTTTTTAACAATGTATATTTTGTCTTCCAAGAAATGTTTTGGTATTATTGTTTAGTTTTGCAGCTGGATTTAATTGAATTATTTAAATTTAATGCTATCTACATTCGTGGTGTGGTGCTGTAGAGAAAACACTAGATGTCTAACCATCAGGTCAACAGTTCAAACCGTCAGTCGCCCTTCTGAAACCCTATAAGTTGGTATGAGTTGGAACCAATTCGCTGGCACTTAACAACAACAATGCAATTTGCAACAGATTTGCGTACTTACCCAACTACTCTTGTAAAAAAATATTTGTTTGTGTGTAGGTTAAAATATCTAACATACAATTTACCATGTTAACCATTGTAAGTGCACAAATCAGTGGCATTCAGTACACTCACAGTGTGTGTAATGGTAAGCACTATTTCCAGAACTTTTCATGATCCTAAATAGACACTCTGTGCCCAGTAAACAATAACTCTCTATTTCTCCCTTCTCCTATTCCCTGGTAATCTCTAATCTACTTTCTGTCTCTCTGGATTTTCCTATTCTAGATACCTCAAATGAGAGGGATCATATAGCATCTGTCCTTTTGTGTTTAGGTCATGTTATTTAGCATAATATTTTATAAAGATTTTGTTACCATTATTCTAGGGCCCCTAATGCAAGAATGTTGTTAAGTGCTGTCGAGTCAGTTCTGACCTATAGCAACCCCATCTAGGGTTTCAGAGAAGCAGCTGGTGAGCTTGAACTGCCGATCTTGCAGTTCAAACTGACTTTGCAGTGCAGTGCATTAACCCACACCAGAACTCCTTTTGACTCATAGCCAAAGGAGCGGCTGTAGAGTCTGAACTGCCAACCTTGTCATTTAAACTGACCTTGAGGACCAGTGCTTTATCCCATAGCGTCACACTGGGAAGCCACGACAGGAACGGTTGGTTTCAATATCACTTTCTGTCCAGAGGCTAGGTGGACATCTGTAAGGTGTTATTTGTCTGGTACCGTTTATTTTTGTGTTTTTTTTTGGGGGGGTGGGGGGTTACTGCTTCCCTCCCATTCCACCTGTCTCAGGCATGGTAGTCCCTTAGCAAAAGAGGGACCATGACCACACGGGTGACCGAGGACCCAAGCAAGGTCCATGACTACGCTGAAGTAGACAGGCACAGAAAGACTGGCACGAGCCCTCTGTTCCTTGTGCTTTAAAAATGTGGTTATACAATGGAATGAATGTAGAACTAAAGTTCTCTCATATAAACTACCACATAATTCACAATAGAACATTTTTAAAAATGTGGTTATAATCTTACTTTATTCCCAAATATGTTCAAGTAAGCCATGGATAATTTTCACCATTCATCCAGATAATCAGTACAGTTTGCTGGGAGTCCATGTATGCCTGGCATTGTTTGAGGCAGTAAGTATTCCAAGGTGACAGCAAACAGAGCCTTGTGGTGATAAGAGGCTGCTTAGTGACCCTCCAGCCTCTAATATCCTCTTCCTCAGTGCTGCTATGGAAACCCATTCCAAGAACGATGTGATACAGGGTCCTGCTGGACCACACTCTAAGCCTGGGTTTCTCAGCACTTCACACAGAGAAGATCTTAATGGAACTGTACCCAAAGGTCAGTTAAAACTTAAAACTCCGAGAGGCTACATAACCAGTTTGTGAGTAGGTAGTGGTGATGGTTGCACAACACTGTGAATACAACTGTTGTTGTTGTTAGGTGCCATTGAGTAAGTTCTGACTCATAACAACCCGGTATAGAGTTTCCAGGGAATGGCTGGTGAGTTTGAACCATCGAACTTGTGGTTCAAGCTGACCTTGCAGTCTAGTGTTTAGCCTACAGCACCACACCATGACTCCAGTATTTAACCATTCCACCAAATTATGAATTATACACTTAAGCAGGATTAAATGACAAACTATATGCTGTATATATTTTACAACATCTAAAAACACACCACACCAAGCTTGTCGTTTCTCCAACTGCATGTACAATGAAACAAATCCATAGATATCCCATCATCTCTCCGTATGACAATATACTTACCCAGACACATTCCATGGCTTTGTCAATTTTGGAATGTCTGGGCTCAGACTTCATGCTTGTAGCCAATGCTAAATTTTCTTCAGCCTTTTTCCATTCCTCCTTTTTGGCATACATGAATGCGATGTTATATAATACCTAGAAGAGTACAGCCCATGACATAAGACTTAGGACTACTTCACATTTAGGTATCAGGAATACTTTCATGTGTGCTCCTGAAATCTTGTCTGGTGACAGTTCTCCCTTGCCTAACTCTCCTAGGAATATCTAAAATATAGTATAGTTGGTCTTGCCTTGGAGTTACATCAAGGCTGACGCTAAGAAAACACCATGCAATGCATAACTCCAATAATGTGAGCATTCTTTTGACAGCTGTGAGGATAAAATTTATTATGTTGTTTTAGTATGGAGAAAAGTGACTTACTCAAGACCCCTTGAAGAGGCAAGGACAGAACCAGGAGTGAAATGCAGATGTGTAAATTCTCAGTTCAACTCCTAACCTTGAGCCTTAGCTACAACACTGGACAGATGGACAGGGAGAGAGTATACCCGATACATCACCCTGTGCTTGGAACCTGGAACACTTGAGTAACACGATTATCATATAGCGGTGGGATGAGGTACTCCTCAGGCAAAGTACAACAGAGTTAGAAAGAGATTCCACACAAAACCCAGAAGCCTGCTTTACCCAGGGCAGGAAAAGGATGGAAATTCAATGATATTCCAGATCTTGGAATAATAATTTCCCAGGTCTTAAATGGATGGTCGATTTATGAATTTGATTTGTTGTTATGCTTTATAACATATGTTTAATAGAATCATCTTTTGTATATACAGTTTTGTTTAAAATATAGGGGCACTATGAGTCAGAATGAACTCCACAGCACTTACCAACAACAGGGACAGTGGAGGCTGGAAGCAAGTCACAGAACTGGAGATCTAGACTCAGGCCAGTTTCCGAGCCTCCAGTGAGAGATTGCCCAGTGCCTACACCTATCCTCAGCAACACGCCCCACCCGCCTGTGCAGATGAGCTCACTGCCATTCAGAACTTCTTGCTGTGGCTCCGTAGGATTAACGTTCAATCACAAGGTCGGAGGTTCAAACCCACCAGTGGCTCCTTGGAAACCGTATACAGGGTCATTATGAGTCAACAACAATTTAGTTCACAGCCAACTGTTTTTCAGAACTTTTCCCACAGCAGGTTTTTATGGCTCAGTGACTAAAAATGTCTGAGACTTCAAAAAGGAAGGTGTGACTTCTCAGAAGCCCAAGTTATACTGAGCTGGGGAGTTGTTGTTGTGTTGTCGAGTCAGTTCCGACCTATAGCGACCCTGTATAGGGTTTCCAAGGAGCAGCTGCTGAGCTTGAACTGCCGACCTTGTAGTTCAAACGGCTTTGCAGTCTGGCACATTAACCAACAGCGCCACACCAGGAGGTGAGGAGTAGGGGGGATTGTAAGTAGGGAAATGGCTGAGTGCCTCATGTGGCAAAGAGGGTATTTATTGTTGTTGGGTGCCAAGTCACTTTTAACTCACAGCCACCCCAGTGATAGAGTAGAATCGCTCCAGAGGGCTTTCTTGGTTGCAATCTTTACAGAGTAATCCTGAGGTGACGCTGTAGGATAAGCACTGGATTGGAAAGTTGGTTTGAACTGCAAGGTTGGTGGTTCAAACCCACCAGCCACTCTTGAGAAAACTTTTACAGGGTTGAGAGAGAGAGAGCGTCAGTCCTGGTGGTGTAGAGTGGCACTGTAGGATAAGCACTGTATTGCTAACTGCTATGAGTCCGAACTGACAGGACAGCACTTAGCAACAATCTTTACAGAAGCAGATCACCAGGTCTTTCAGCCCCGGAGCCAATGAATGGATTCAAACTGCCAACCTTTCCATTTAGTAGCTGAGTTCAGAACCATTGAACCACTAGGGATCCTTGTTGTTAAGTGTCGTCGAGTTGGTTCTGACTCCAGTACAGGGCTTCCAAGGAGCAGCTGGTGGCTTTGAACCACAGACCTTGTGATCCTACTGAGCCACATCAGGAGTCCTTTAAAATCCTGACAAACACAGCCTGACTCCTGAGACCCACACAGCATATATTTCCCGCTCCACAAGTCATTTCAGTCCCACCACTGGGAGAAAATTCCTCCTGTGGAATCTTCCCTGTCATGTGCCTCTATTGCATGATCCCTAGAGCCACTTGGCTCCTCAACCCTTTCATCTACAGAAGTGGCTCTCGGTCTGGGGTACTTGGCAATATGCAGAGCTCCTTTAAGTGACTACCCTGGAAGCTTCTAGTGAGGAGAGGCCAATGATGCTGTTAGACATCCCACAACACACTTGCCTGGTCCAATGTGTCAGTAGTGCTCTGATGGAAAAGCCCTTCTCTAGAAGCTGGCCAGATGTCCACCAATTCCCACCATGAAGGCTTATTTCCCTGGACTGTGAAGTCATTTACTCAGCCTGTTGCACAGCTGAAATGGGGACACATGCCCCCAGGGGCCCAGGCAGCACTGGACTCTATTATTAGTCCCAAGCAACCCTGGGAACACTTGGCTTCTTGTGCCTGAGAAACTAAGGCGAGGGCACTTTTTCAGAGATTCTTCTAAATAAAGACCTGTCATATTTACAGGGAATTTAGTTTCTAAAGTATATTTGTGGGTAAGGGACAGTGGGAAAAGTTGGTTGGAAAAAGTACATGTCAGTCATGGACTTTTGGTAATACAGAAAAATTGTATTCTTATATGGAAACCTTTGTGTTTTGAGTTGTTTTTAAGCAAGAGAGGATTTGTGCCAAATTGTCCTTTCTCTCTGGATCTCAACCAAGTATGTGGGACAAAAATTAATGTCAAGAAGGATATTCTGTAACTTGGGACGTGAACAAGGTTATGGTTGGTAAATCTTAACCAGTTGTCCTGGGGTCAGTCAGACTCATGGAAACCCTCTATGTGTGTTAGAGTGAACTGTGATCCAGAGACTTTTCAGTGACTGTGATCTTTTGGAAGTGGATTGGCAGTGTTTTTTGCTGAGGTGCCTTTGGGTAGGTGTGTACTGACAACCTTTTGGTTAGTAGGCAAGTGCTCAACTATTTGTGCCACTCAGGGATGGATAAACTGAAACCAAACCTACTGCCATCTGGTTCATTTCAATTCCTAACGACCCTGTATAGAGTTTACAAAGCTATTCATCTTTATAGGAGCAGAAGGCCTCGTCTTTCTCCTGAGGAGCATCTGGTGGGTTTTAATTGCCAACTTTATGGCTAGTATTCCAGTTCTTACCCTGCAGCACCACCATAGCTCACTCCTGGATGGACAGTGAATACAGCATTTGGGGGCGTTGTTAGTAGAATAGTGCAAATATTTCAACTCAATAGCTAAACAAAACATGTAAATTATGAATATTTTCACAGGCAAACAACACTTAGTTGTTCAACCTCTTTTCTTCTCCATTTCCTCATTTATACATGGTACTTGCATGTCCATGGTAAACTTGAAGTCATCCAGCTGAGCCTCTTCTTAAGGAAAAATCTGTATCCCAATGCACAAGATGAACGATCTTTCCAATCTCCAAATACCATGGACTGCCATAAGAACAAACTGATCTTTGTTGGAAGAGGTACAACTAGAAAGCTCCTTAGAAGTTAAGATGGCTAGACTTCATCTCTCATACTTCAGACATATTATCATGTTGGGGAGGCGGCAGCGGCAATCTCCGGAGAAGGACATCATGCTTGGTAAAGTAGAAGGACAGTGAAAAAGAAAAAGACCCTAGCAAATCGGATTGGCACTGTGGCTCAAGCAATGGGCTCAAGGGTAGCAACAATTGTGAGGATGGTGCATGGCCACACAGTGTTTTGTTCTGTTGTACATAGGGCTGCAATGAGTCAGAACTGACTCAAAGGCACCTAACAACAACAGCGATGTCAATAAGAGCCGTGTACCTGACCATCAGCACTGCTGCGGCCTGTGTTCCTTACCTCACAGGCAAACAGCTTGAACTGCAGCCCCAGGATCTTGTAGTCTATCAGCTGGTTCCCTCGAAGCTGTGTCAAGGCCTCTTTCAGATCTCTAAGAGCCAAATCGTATCTGTAGGACAGAGGTAGAAAGTAAACCTGTAGTACAGTGCGTGTTGCTCCTTTCCCATCTATCCCAAGGAGACATGAGCCTTTCTGTTGCCTTTTGACCTTGGGGAAAAACAGAAAAAGATCAAACCACAAATACAGTATATAGGGTTTATTGGGCAATCATTCTGTGTACACACAGGAAGACTGTTTCTTTCTTAAAAATAAAATCAAATGGCTCAATGCAGGCCAGTTACAATAAGTCTTTAAAGAAGATGAGAAAATGGTAGAAAATTACCTATTGGCATGGGGTCCTGGTATGGGATAAGCTGTAGGATGAGCTGCTTCCCAGAAGCCCTATAGAGGGTTGCTATAGGCCAGAACCAACTACATGGCACGTAAGAAGTCTCAACTTGATTGACTAAATCATGCCCCCCTTTCTGAGATCAGCTGATATCAGATTACTAGCTAGTCTCTATGACCCCATTTATTTGCACAAAACCTCAGGTGTTGTCCAGAGGTTTTAAAATAGCAGTGGTCTTGATAACAATTATTCACTATTGTATCACAAGAGACCCGTCTGCATTTCATTGCATCAGCCCCGCCTAGTCAGATTGAATACTACTCACTGGAGATTCTACCTTCCTCCAGGCCCTCTGGATCTAGGTTCCTCTTGAAAGCTTGTAAGCCAGTCACTTCTTGCCTTTGTGGCTGCCCTCCGCCCCCCATTTTGAGTAGCCATTGTCCAAGTTGCCCATGCCTGTCTACTCTGTGTGTGGAGGGGCTTGGAATGATTGAGCTATTGCTTCCATAGGTGTAGGTCAAGTTCATCAAATTGTATGAGAATACCTTTTTTTTTTTTTCCTCTTCTTTTTACTTCTGGTTGAGCTCTGATCATCCAGTCACTGAAGCCAGGATAAGTGGGTATTATCTGCAAGTGTGGGTGTTCTTATGCATATGCCCTCTCTTCCTATCAGCTGGACACTTCACTCTCCACTTTAGTCCTCTGTGGCTATGTCACTGACTCTGGCCCTAAGATTCCCCAGGTCTTGCCACACTGCCGGCCAACCAGGTCTTCAACCGGGTTCACAGAACTCTATAATTGTTATCAGGACTGATTGTGAGGGTTGGAAATGTAAAGGTAGATGTTTTATAGCAAGGAGGGGAGTGATTAACTTTTCAGTCTAGGAGCAGAGGTCCCTAGGACCTTCAAGGGAGAAGAGCAGAGAGCGGGACCCTAACCAGAGATGCAGTGATGCCTGAAATGGAGCCAGAGATGATGACGTGGAGTGATGGAGCAGCTGGAGACTTTAGATCCAGAGAGGGAGAGCGACTGTGTGCTGAAGACCTGGGGGGTAGGGGGAAGGATTGCATGGAGGGAATTGTAACCATGGCAATGAGATGATACATGATAGAATGAATGTAAAACTAATGTTCTCCCATGTAAACTATCACATAATTCACAATAAAACATTTAAGAAAAATAAATAAATAACAGTAGTGATGGTGGTTTTGTGCCACTGAGTTGGTTCTGATTCATAGTTTCTCTGTCTGTATAAGGTTTCTGAGGCTTCTCCGTTCTCCGAAGGAGTGGCTAGAAGATTCAAACTCCTGACCTTGTAATTAGCAGCCCAGTTTGTAATCTATTACACTACCAGGGCTCCTTTTTAAAGTAATAAAGGCAGGGAATTCCAAGAGTTGTATCTTGAGAAGCAAGGAGAATTCTCTAAAGTTAAATTCTTTGCACACAATAAACCCTGAGCAGGTTAACAGTTGTCTTTATCACAAAGAGGAATCTGCTTTGTGGCCACTGGGTCTCCACACTTCCTGTTTCTATGTGTAATGTCTGCCAGTGACTTTAATGAATGTTCCTCTACACTCAGCAGAATCTGTCAATTCCTGTCCCTTGGTTTCTCTCTTTTAACAACTTGTACTTGTTTCTCACCAGCAGGAGCCCCAGCAGAGCACCCATTTCTGTGTGCATGGGCCATTCCAAGGAATTCCAAGCCCCTTCCCTGTGAACTGCCCTCATCTCCCATCAGCTGACAGCCATTCTTTCCTTGGAGCTCCAAGCAGAGGAAGCACCTGCCCACCCTCACTGACAAGGTCAGCCTGACATAACTCTAAGGATCTCTTCACACCCTCCTGCCCAGACTTGACTTCCTCTTCATTTAAAAAATATATATTATTATTATTTTTTTTTTAGTTGTGATAAAAATATATACAAGATAGTTTCAAAAATTTTTGTAGAAAAATGGATTCAAAAGATAGTGAAAAACGTCCCTGATATTTTTTGAAGCCTCCTAATACAACAAAGGAGTCCTGGTGTGGCACTGTAGGATAAACACTGGGCTGCTAGCCACCAGGTTGGCGATTCAAACCCACCAGGTGCTCCTTGGAAACTCTGTACAGGGTCGCTGTGAGTCAGAACAAACTCCATGGCTCTTAACAACAACTTAAAATTCCATAGTATGTTAGGTGGCTGGTTATGCGCAGTGGCATTGGCTCTGACTCATAACGAACCTGTATAGGGTTTCCAAAACTAAATCATTATGGGAGCAGAAAATCTCATCTTTCTCCCACAAAATGGCTGGTAGTTTCAAACTGCTGATCTTCAGTTGAGGTTAGCATGTAACTTGTAACCACTACTCTACCAGAGCTCCTTAGTATATTAGGCATTCCCCAGGCAATAAGCATATACAGTTGTATAAACTGGAGCTCTGACCTCAGGGAAACTTAAAAGGTTGGTTTATCAAGAGAGCCCTAAGAAAGGTGCACCAGGTTGGTAGGGGACTGTCTGGACTTTTTGTCACCACCAGTAACTCACACAACAACAACAGCAGCTGCCGAAGTAAGGGAGAAGGCAGCCTGGATTTGAAACAGGATTGTTTTCTCTGATGTTTTCTTGTCATTAATAAAGATGAGTGTAACATATCCTAGAAACATGCAGATTACTCCCAGCAAAGCAGTGTGCATTGAAAGCAGCATCCACAGACATTTTCAGGCCTTTCTAAGAACGGGGAGAAAGTGTAAGCACCACCGTTCCTTCTCACTAAGCAAGAAGGTGGGGATGAATGGCTCAGATTCCCTGAGCCATGGTGGAGGGAGCAAGCAGAAACCCAGGTCTCCTGATCTTTTTGGCCCAGGCACTTTCCACTGTGTTCTGCAGCCCATTTGTGAGGTAACATCAACCTACAAATAGGCCTTTCTCCCTGCAATGGCCTTACTAATGTTGGTGTCCTAGGTCCATGGACCTTCTCCCATACAGACCTTACAGAACCTGCAGCAATGTTTCTTATCAATTGTAATCATAGAATCATATGTGATAAATATAGTTGTAAACTACTTACAGGTAATCTCTTATTGTATGGATACTAACAAAATAGTTTTTGAAAATCTTTCTGCATTGAATTACAATATTATTAGTAACTGAGCAGAAGCTTATTTTAATTTTTCGCTTTTCCTTTAATTACGACTTCATTTTCAAAAAACTATTTATACATGTTCACAAAAACTAATTGATGGTGGTGTGCCGTGGAGTTAGTTCTGACTCACAAGGACCCCGCATAGGGTTTCCAAGTTTGTTTATCTTTACAGGAGCAGAAAGCCTCATCTTACACGGAATGGCTGATAGTTTTGAACTGCTGACCTTGAGGTTAGCAGCCTGACTCATAACCACTACGCTACCAGAGCTCCTTACAAAAACGAATTACCACATTATTACAGCTAAAATGCCAGAGAATTGAAAAAAATCAACAACTATAAAAACAGCAGCAGCAACAACAGAAGTGCATTCTTGTAGTGTGTGCAGATGAAACCATGTGATCTGAAGTATCATTATAACTGGGTGATAATGACAGCGCAAACCAGAGCACGTGGGAAGATTCCAAAGGCACATTAGCATAGAGTTTTAGCCTTGTAGGTATATCGATAACATGTAAGCTGGGCTTATGAAAGATATTTCTGTTGCTATAATTAACTACAGAAATATTTTTATAGAAAATAATTTCTGCTGAAACACTACCCAAAATCTTATAGACAGTCATTTTGTTGCATCCCCTCTGACAGTCCTCACCCCTTAGTGGTACCACTGCTTCCCTGGTAAGCTGAGGAAGCAGATGTATTTCAGTTATGCTCCAAATTGCCTAGCTTTGCCTCCTTACCAAGGAATAGAATGAGTCAAGAACACCCTCGTCATAAATGTCTTGTACAGTGAGATATCCGAAGATCTGGCCCAGTAAGAAGAAGGAGAAAGAGCCAACCAATTATTCATAGTGCTTTATATTACGAAATGGGTGAGATGGGATGTTGTCCTTGTGAAATGTTCCTTTTAAAACATGTTTTTGAAATGTCTGGAATCTGTAAGCTGATGCAAACAGTTAACATACTAGGCTGCTAACAAAAGTTTAGAAATTCGCATCTCCCCAGAGACTTGGAGATCTGTTTCCAAAAAGTCATCCAAAACCCCTACTCTGACAGACACAGGGTCACCTTGAGTCCAAAAGGACTTCATGGAAACTGGTTAAAAAACCTGTCCTGTCTCCCAGCCTCTTTCCTTCCCACCACAGGCCTCTCTTCAGCTCCTATTGTTAACCTGGAGCTGCAGGAATGGCTGGGGGTAGGAGTGGTGGGAAGGGGATCCACTTTGACACACGCCTGTTTCCCTCAGAATATGCTCAGTAAGAATACTCTAGAACAGCATTCAGTCCCGGTGTTGGTGGGCTGACCAACCTGCTGGCTTCTCCACGTGCTGGCAGGCTGGGCTGGTGGGTGTGCTTTCTTCATGCTCATATCAAAGGACACCTCTCAGCCCCCATTGCTCCCAGGCAGGAGCTCACCAGGGACAAAGGCCACCTTACTGAGGCTTTTTACAACCATGGAGCTTGAGAACATTTCTTAGTAACACTGAAGATCCCGATTGTGCCTGTGCTACCAGGGCCCCCCCCCCCAGCCCAGACTCCTGCAATTCACACGCAGTTATCCAGGACAATGGAGATTGTCAGCAAGCTGGAAGGAGTCATACCA